CCTTCTTGACAACCCGTCAAGTTGGACATCCTTGGGATGTGTCCCCTGATGCAGTCTTAGGCTTCGAAAGCGGGTCGGTAACTAACAGACGCATGTATCACTTTTACCAAGACCTGAAGTATCTTTTCGGCGCCCCTCATGTCCAGGAACGCGTTAGATGTGAGCCCCGCTACCTCATGCAGTTCCTTGACCTTGTCAAGCTTCATCAATGTATTGGGCCGAATGTCAGGGCTGTGGTCGAACACGTGGAATACGAGGCCGACTCCTGGATTACAGCATCCCTTGTAACCAGGCAGATCAACCTGCAAGCACGAAACCTTGCTGAGGCGTTCCGCAACTGCCCCCCAGACGAGTTCCACTACCTCCAACAAGCAATTCGCTTCACCACCAAGACGGTCATCTTGAACTCTATCGGCGCCGAACGTCATCGATTTAAGCAAGGTGAAATCAAAGACGAGGTGCAGTTCAAGACATTAAGTGATTTTGAGTTCGATGGCGAATCTTCATCGTATGATGTCGTCAAGTTCGTTGTCGAGAAGGACGCGATCAGTTTCCACCATGCCCTACACTACACGCTGTCCTGGCTCATTGAGTGTGGCCGATCTCTTCCTGTGTCAACAATGCGGAACCTTCTGAGCTTTACTCAACAGGAGCTCAAATCTAAACCAAGACTGATGGGAAGGCCTCAAGTGCCGCGAAAGAATTACAACGCAGAGGATTATCTCATCGCATCTTTCGACTTCCCTCTCCGTGTTTGCGCTTGGCTTGCCCAGATCAAAGCCAACATGTGGGTTCGCAATGGAATCAGCCTGCGACACCAAGCCAGCACGTATCGGGGTGTCGGTCAACGAGATGTATCTCATCATCGGGATATCTTTCTACTTCAGACTGCTTTGGTGATTTGTAACCCCAGCCGAGTACTGGCCTCGATTATAGACCGCTTTGGAATGGAAAGCTGGGTCAAGGGCTTATTCGAGCTCAAATCTGAAGCTCAGGATGATGCTCAGCACCTTGATGTTGTTGAAGATATGATTCATCTTCTCATCGTCTTGCTCAGCGACCGGACCTCTTTAATATCTTCAGAGGATGAGACCAAATCCAGGCTCTTGGCCATGCGCCGCGACATTACTCATGTATTGTGCTTAAAGCCGCTATCTTTCAACGAGATCTGTAACAAATTGCCTGAGAAGTATCAAGAGCAAGAAGACTTCCACCGAGTGCTTGATGAGATGGCCACTTTCAAACCACCAGAGGGTGTCTCCGATGTTGGTACTTTCGAACTTCGACCCGAGTACATTGAGGAGATTGACCCTTATATCGCTCACTATAACAAGAACCAGCGTGAGGAGTCGGAGCTGGCTTACCGAAAGAAGATGGCGAAGCGAACAGGAAAGACTGCTGAAGAAATCGTATACGAGCCCAAGGCCCGACCAGTCCCTTCGGGCATGTTTGAGGACTTGGGCGCTTTCACGAGTACCGGCATGTTTGCTCAAGTCGTCTACTACTCACTCCTCTACCCCCTGGTGGCCGGCAAGTTTACTCCCTCCGTTCCTTTTACTCGACTGGAAACATTTCTCCAGGTTGTCTTGCATCTTATGCTCATCGCCATTCTCGAGGACAAGTCGAGTGACGATGACATGAGCGAAGAATCACCAAAGTCCTTTGTCTACATCGCCCTCACAAAGTTTGGCCGCAGTAACTTTATGCCTGAAGCCCACAGTTCAAGGACAATCGTGTCTCTGCTGAATATGATGTCAACCAAGGACGAGTTCAAGGCAGTTCATCCCAAAATCGCGCTCGTTCTGAAGCGTCTGCGCCAGAAACGTCCTCGCACCTTTGAGACAGCGTATGTGAACCTGGGTGCTTCCGTAGACCGTATAAGCACCGCCTCACCAGCAAACACATCTGCTGAGGAAGAGCGCGAGAGAAGAAAGAAGGCAGCTCTGAGTCGCCAAGCCAAGGTCATGGCGCAATTCCAACAGCAGCAGAAGAGCTTCATGGAAAACCAGGCTTCCTTTGACTGGGGCAGTGATATTGATGAAGATGAGGGCGAAGAAGGCGATGGTGAGCAAACTGAGGACCGAAAACACAACTGGAAGTACCCAGTGGGAACTTGCATCCTGTGTCAGGAGGAGCCGGACGATCGTCATCTCTACGGAACTTTTGCTCACTTCAACGAAAGCCGCGTCCTCCGACAGACAGATTTCCAAGACCCTGATTTCGTTCGTGAGGCATCACAAACACCATGCAGTCTTGATCGATCGGCCGAGGACGTTCGACCATTCGGTATTGCTCACGAAAACCGCAAGATGGTGGAAAAGATCAACGCTCAAGGCGAAACTTTTCTCGCGGAGAGACAGACAATCGGGAAGGGTTTTCCTTCCAATGTCTGTCGATCAGGCCCTGTGGCAAGTGGTTGCGGGCATATGATGCATTATCGCTGCTTTGAAGTTTACTATGAAGCGACTGTTCGCCGCCATACGCATCAGATTGCCAGGCATCATCCAGAAGATACTAAGCGCAATGAGTTTGTCTGTCCTCTATGTAAGGCCCTAGGCAATGCATTCGTACCCATTATCTGGAAGGGCATAGACGAGTCATACCCAGGCTACCTACAGTCTCAAGGTACATTCGAGGAATTTGTCGAGAAGCAAATGGGATCTGCTTACTGGATTGGTGGAAGTAAGGCACGGGAGGACGAGCCTACTGTGCCTGACATGTTTACTCCAAGTCTTCCAGGAAGCCTTGTTGAGTCCTTGCTCCCAGCCCAAGCTTCGAGCGACACCTCATGGGGAAGAGATGATGCCGAGTCTCATTCGTCAACTGTCGGCACACCCGCAAGTTACGCATTTTCTGACTCGGTTACCCCTGAGCCGGTGCAACCTCAACCCGCTACTACCAACAACAACACAGATGGTAGCCAGTTGATGGACGAACTATTAGCAGCCTACCGCCGACTGAGGAATACACTCCGTGTCAACGGCCTTCGTACTAGCCACCTCATTGACGCTAAGGGCGACAACGTTGGTGAATTATGCGCCAGCGATACACTGGTGAAGTCTGTGGGCTTCACCATCTCTTCAATCGAAGTCCAGCAGCGAGGCATTGAAGCCCAGCCAGGCATGACACTCCTGGAGAAGATCCCTGAACACATTTTGTCGCACCTCAGAGTCCTATCAGAGACTGTATCTTCGTACATCGCTGTTGGGGCGCAGTCTGGTGGTGCCGAGAACAAGATTGAAGCCGAATTCAGGAAGGACAGCGAGCGGCAACACTGTCAGCTGTTTATGTCGAGGTACTTTGGTACTGGAACTCCTTATGCTCGCCGACCTCTGGATGTGTACCCTCCACTGCTGAGCATGGACTCGTTCCTATTCTTAGTGGAATGCTCCTACGGTTTAGTGCCGCTCCAGAAAGCTGAAATTTCCCACGTTCTTCGACTTTGTTATCTGGCAGAGCTTGTTAAGCTGGTGTATCACATGGGTCGCAATATTCCTGTCGCTAGCTGGGTTGGCAATCTCACCAACCGTCATACGCAGGACCCGGCCATCAACAATTTTGCAGACTTTGCTCTCGGCGTTACGAAGACTGGGGTCGATTTCCATGCGGCCCAATTCCCTGAAGGCGTTGAATTTGGCGAGAACCGTGGCTTCCAGCAACCAGGTGTGGACACTCTAGAGAGCTGGTATACCTTTTCCAAGAAATATGCTCTCACCTTCCTACGGAAATGTGTCATTTTCCTGTATGTCAAGTATGGCGTAGACTTCAACAGTCATGTCTCGCCTTCGCCAGATGCTGATGAGCTGGAGCGCCTCACTGAAGCTCTTCGGGTTCCAACATTTGACGAGATGTGTGCTGCCATCACAGACAACGCGTCGGCTTGTGGCTGGCCTCAGACAACGTCTGTACTGGTATCTGGTTGGGTAAAGCATCAAGTTATGTGGCCTGGAGACTATAGCGAGATTCCTCTCTCGGCAATGATGAGCCACCCAGGAATCTTTGAACTTATTGGATTACCAAAGAATTACGATGCGCTCATAGAGGAAGCTACCAGACGAAAATGCCCTACCACTGGAAAGGAGCTCACAGATCCTGTCATATGCCTTTTCTGCGGAGAACTATCTTGCAGCCAAGGCACATGTTGCCAGAAGATGGACAATTCTGCCGAACGAACAGAACATACCAAGATTGGCGGTGCACAGCAGCATATGCGCAAGTAAGTGATGGTCAGCTATTATACTGTGGTCAGAATACTAATAAGGTTTAGGTGTCAACGGAATATTGGAGTGTTCCTCAATGTGCGCAAGTGCTCGGTGGTATACCTTTTCCGACTTTCAGGATCCTTCACGCCAGCGCCTTATATCGACAAGTACGGAGAGACGGATCCTCAGCTGCGTCATGGGCGACAGCTCTTCCTGAACCAGAAACGATATGACTCCATGATACGAAATACGGTGCTCAACCACGGGGTACCGAGCTTGATCAGCCGCAAGTTGGAGGCGGAGATTAACAATGGTGGATGGGATACTTTGTAGTAAACGAGCAGAGTTATTGGTATGAAGCAAGTCTATGCTTTACGTTGGGGCTGGGACTAGCGAGTATGTAAAGGGTTGCAGGCCATGATGTGATAAATGGTGTAAGACAATTGGTTTTGGGCTTCTATATGCTATGTGAGTTAGTGATAGCATGCAACGATAATAGATGCCTAATGGTATTTGAAACTTTCATGTGAGTTTCCAGTGATACATAGTATCTCACTATAACAGGCCATTTTTAGATCTCAGGTCGTTTCGATATATATATAAGATCACTATCACACCTAGTATTTACATAGGTAGGTAGGTATTTATATTGACATATATCAATGACAGTGTATAGATACAGTGTATGGCGGGTATCAGACTGTACAGACCCTGAGCTTTGGCCAATCATATCACGCGCTCGCTCGTGCAGTCGCGTCTAAACCGTGGCTCAACTGTACTCAAGCCTCTTTTGGAACGAAATAAACGTGAGGGTAAACCAACCGACAAGGAAAGCGACAGTAGCTACGCAGCAACCATCTTTCCTTCCTTCTTTCCATCTCTAAAACGAACCCCCTCCTTCCTCTTGATCCTTATTCCCCCCTTCCACCCCCTTTTTTTGTTCAAGTTCTTTTGTTTTTGTGATACTCGATAAACTGAGACTACTTCTCGCTCGTAATTTCCCTTGGGTGGACGTCCGCCTCCACTTGCTCTGGCAAGAGAAACAGAGCACCCCGAACCTTCGAAAAATGGCAGGCAGACGTTCAGGTCGCGCTGCCGCCAAACGGGCTGCAGCTGCTCTAGGTGAGTGCGATTGCTCTCTTGTAACATCCAGATCCATACAATCTTTCAACACCCACCAAACTACAAAGACAATCAATTTCCACGCCTAACTCTATTGATAATTTTCTTTAATCCCTTTCTTGATTTGCTGGCGCTTCTTATGGTTTTCATTTCCTTTTTTCCTACTACACACTTTCTCCTGGCGCGCAGCGTGATTGCGCAAATCGCAACTCAACAATGGCGCCCCGTGGAAAGATTCGCTTGAAGCTGACGCGAAGCGCCAAATCAGAGAGCACGCCAAAGTCGTTCGCAGACCTCGAAGATGAACCTATGCCCGATGCCGGAACCAGTCCCCTGGGCTCCAAGCGACAGCAGGTGCCCGACCCGGATGATGAGAAGGACGAGGATCACCAGCCAAAGGAAGAGTCGGGAGATGAAGATGATGCAGCCGACGCGGCTGAAAAGGACGACGAATCCGTCAAGGAGCCTACGCCCCCCCCTCAGCTCATGGTCCGTCGCAAGAGGCTTGGTCGTCCTCCTAAGAACAGACCTCCAGATTGGGACAACATGATTTCTGTTCCCGCCGACGAAGCCAACACCCCGCGACGCCGAGGAAGAGGTGGATGGCGAGGCAGGGGTGGTCGTAAAGGAGGTCCTGCTGCACCCAAAGCCGAGCAAGTTATCGACCAGGAGGGAACTGTTGCCGAAATCGCAAACGATGAGTGCGTCTTGCCCGAAGATCCAGAGGGCGAGACTAAAGTGGACAAGTTGGGCAACCTCCAAGGCGGACGTGATTATCGATGCCGAACTTTCACGGTTACCGGTCGTGGGGACAGGCTCTACATGCTTTCTACAGAACCAGCTCGATGCGTTGGCTTCAGGGACAGCTACCTTTTTTTCACCAAGCATCGCAAACTCTACAAGATTATTGTGGATGACGACGAGAAGCGGGACATGATTGAGCGAGACATCATCCCTCACTCGTACAAGGGCCGTTCCATAGGAATCGTAACGGCGCGATCGGTCTTTCGCGAGTTTGGTGCGCGCATCATTGTGGGCGGAAAGCGCATCATCGACGACTACAACGTTGCCCAGGCCCGCGCTGATGGCGCCGTCGAGGGCCAGCTTGCGGACCCAGATGATCATTTCGTCGAGGGGGAGCCGTACAACAAGAACCAGTACGTTGCGTGGCACGGAGCCAGTGCCGTGTACCACACCAACGTACCATCAGTGCCGGTTCCCAATGGCAAGATCGAGTCAAAGAAACGCAAGGTAAATGTCAACGACATGAATTGGATGCTGGAACATGCCCGCGAAGCCAGGTACGTAAACTTCCAACTGTAGGCATGCGACATCATGACCTGTCCCAATACTAACTGCCAAATGCACAGCACCTTCAATGCCGGCATCAATGCCATCAGAAAGCTCAACAATGCCGGCGTGTACGACATTCACACGAATGTGATGCAGTACCCAACAACAATGCAGCCGACGCGAGCACGCATTGAGCAGGTCGCCCCAGAGGACGAGCAAGCCACCGCAGACAGCGCCATCTTCCCCCCCGTCCCTGCAAAGATGGCGCGCAACTTCTTCGTTGCAGACACATACTTTGAGACATCATCGGCGGGTGTCATTTCAGCGTCTGCAGTGGACGGTACCGCAGGTTCACCAGACTTCCTTGCTTCTTTCCAGGGATTGAGTGCTGTATCGGATGAGATCAAAGACCTGTTGCCCTCGGAGTGTCGTGCGGCTTTCGATGGCGCCGTGGCAAAGGAGGCATCATATCGGTCAAAATGGGGTCCTGAGAGCGAAACAATGTCGCGCCATCAGCCCATTATCGACAAGGCAATCGTGCCGTACAGCATGAGTTGACGGCAGCCCAAGCTGGTAATGACATACGATTCCTTCGAAACGTGAACAACATCAACCGTGCAAATGCGGATGTAATACTATGGGTATCAAGTGATGCATTCTTTTTGACATTCAAGACGAGGCGAGATAGGGGTTGGCACACCTTGCTGGGATCTAGGCACCAGGAAGAGTGGAAGGAAAGCAATATGGGCGTTGGGTGTCATGGATAAACACTCGGAGTGGTTTCTGTTTCTACGGCTGCATCATCAGATGGTGTCAATTGGGCCTTGAGAGTCAATGTATCATATCAGGTAGAAGAACAAGTCCTTGTTCACAGGCCTCTACCGATTGACAATGTGCAGACACCAATTGAACGAATGACTTGGTATGACTTTGATGCTCTACGTGAGTCATTGACACGGATGCCCTCAGTTACTCTGCAGTATTGCCTTTCTCGACGCGCGGTACTGCGAGCACTGACTGCAGCTTGGGGAGCTTACCTTGCCTCAATGGCCACGTCTTTCTCCAGCCGCCGACTACGCTTCTTTGAACACACTGGCTGCTGGCTGGACTGCCGGACTCGGCCTCTTTCTGCTGCAGGTCACAATTCCTTGGCACGCGAAGAGCGGGCCAGAGAATCAAGAGACTTTTTCCCTCTCACTCTCTGACCTCCGTGGCCCCGTATTGCGGGATTCTAGCCTCTCGAATTTTCTTTCTTCTTTTGCAGGGCTCGTGATAGGTACGATCTCATGCTTCACTAGGAGTTTATTTAGCGACGATGTGGGTTTCGTCGTCTGCCCCCGCCCTGACTTCGGTTGATCTTTTTTTTTCCTCTTGTCCTTGACCTCGTTTGGGTTCTTGCGTGGCTTGGGTGGATGCTGATTAAGGCCCCCACGCGGATCTAATGGATGCTTGATGAGGTGGGCTTGCAGGGCTCATCAGAGACGAGACGGCACCATGGAATGAGTGGCGAACTGCAACAAAGCAGAAGGCGAATTGAACCGAGAGGGAACTTGTGAAGAAGATTCAAGAAAATACAGTACATACAATCAGGGTCTTGATCGACATCCCTCTAGCTTGACTTGCTGCATGCTTGTGACGCATGTTCTGCCCTGTTGAGCCGTTATTGATGACAGAAGGACTTATTAGTGACATTCAAGAGTGCAGTCCGTATTGGCTGGCACCCTGAAAGAATTCACTCTTATATGATGACATATGGGTGCCAGTGCAGCAGTATCAACATGGACGTATCTGTAGCCCGTACCTGTCTGTCCTGTGATACTTTACTGGTCAATGACTGACGTCCTTAGGCTCCTATTGGTGTTGCTGAGTCCCTCTGTGAGTACTGGCACTCCTCAAGCAACAGCATATTTTAAGTGTGACTTTTAGACCAGTCACGAATAGGTATCTGGCTTTTCTCTTCCGGTTTGAATTCGACGGCCAGAATGTAACAAGGATGCAAGGCACCACCGCATCTCTTCTAGGCAATTGGTTGTGATCATTCACGGTTGCCTCCAACGTTGTCATGAGGGTGATGATCATGACAGGCAGATAAGCTCCGGGGAACAGAGCCGGGTCATGCCCGCTGGAACTGATGGTGTCCAGTTCCCCATGGCAGCAAGACTTGGATTCATACTGGTCGAATGAAAACCGGATGAAACCCTTCGGACAAATGCGTTATGATTCGATATAGGGTAGCACATGTTTTGAAGGTGACAAGACATGCATAGATATACAACCAGCCCTCCCATATTGTCGGTAACCATGGGAGGCGCCTGAACTCGAATTCCAGAGGCACCTGGCCACTGATAGATGTTTCGGTCATATGCAGCTCACACCGCTCCATCCAACTGCCACATATTGGTCATGATCGGTTTGCAACTACAACAGCGCTCGTTGATGCGGCTCATGTCCGCGGGTTAGTTAGAGGCGACTGATATATCGACGTCCTGCTCGCTACATTCAGAACAATCCACTAAATCCAGCAAAAGCGGTTCTGGGGGTTGATGGCCCTTCAAACTTCAAGTAATCATGCATACCCACCAAGCATCCCAAAAATGAATATCATATTCGGGATGCACGGTTCCTTCTCAGAGACTTGTCACTCTGTGGGAACATTATCACATTAACTCGCTCTGCACGATGCACAACACCGGCCAGTGCTTAAAGGCCCAAGCGCTTAATGAGGGGTCCGCTCCATGATGGCCCGTCGAAGCCATATCTCGGATAGGTTGATTCCTGTATACCTAGTAGAAACAGCGGCGGCTGTCACGCGAGTTAGGATTTAGAGAGGCGTTTGTTGCGGTCAAAACCCACAAGGGCTTCAAAGGTCATCCAACCCACTGGTCCATGCCCTAAGCGGCACGACCAGGCTAATGTCAAACCATGTCGAAGCGAATTAAGAGCTTTGATGCTGGACATCATCTCTCAATTCAGTAACGTTGTGTGCTGGGAGCTTTGAGATGCTGTGAGACCCTGTCTGAACGTTCACAAGATAGTATGTAGCCATCTTGCAGAAGATACCTGTTGTAGCACCACCTGCTGCTGCCATTTCTCGACGTCAATGGATCTTCAAGGACCCTGAGAAATCTAGAATGCCCAAACCATTAAATGTGTCATACCACATTCGTACTAGGGCAGACAGTCTCTTTCCCAGCCAGCTCGCAGGGACCAACTCCATCACGATTAGCTCTGGCTCCAGTGGATACCGACGTTAATCAACGCGGCTCCAATGGTCCCTGCTCACCATGTTCTGATTTAGTCCCACACAACGCGCTTCAACACTGGCAACCGGTTGATGAATTCGATGTTAATAAAACTAAGCTTCACAACCACCATGTGCTGGGATTTTCTAGAGCGAGAAGGACCATCAAATGATACTGATATCACATCCACGAGCAAGAATATCATGCCACCCACCACTGCCGCTCATTTCTGATAATGCTATCAGATATTCCAGGGCCCGCTTGACACGACTAGACATAGCACAGCGGATGAAGAGTTGCCAACTCGACGACCACAATCTGTGACCAGGACATGGCAACTAACAACTGACTCTCGGTTGTTGGGTAAGACCCTAGACCCGTTGCATCTCGTCCCGAGCTCGTTGATGTAGCATCACTAGGCCAGGACTTGCCCGTATTCCGACTGCTCCTTGAACATGATCAATAAGATCCGTCATAATTGAGTGGGCAGCATTCGGGGGAAAACTGCCAGGAAGATGATGAGGGCTGTGGTAATGCCAGACGATGGCAATTCAAATTGACGGAGACAACCACACCGGAGTCCATCCCAGCCGTGTTTAACAAGATGCATAGCCTTAAACGAGACGACTTGACCTAGCCGTCTCTAGAGAATGGGGGTTTGCTAGCCACATGAAACCAGAAATGCAGAAAAATTGCATGTCAAGAAAAGTCCAGGACAAGCCGCCCATGTTGACCATGTTTCGTCTCATCAATGGAAATCAAAACCAAGCCAAGGCGCTCACATGGCAACCTGGCCAGGAGTCCCTCAGGGCTGTTCAAAATGACTGACCAGCTAATTTCCTGGGGGAACGGCGCTACGTATTGGCTCGCCTGCGATTGCACTGGCGAGTGGATCCAAATCTCCTAGAGCAGGGCTTGGGTTGCTCAGCTTGTGGCATTGGTCCAAGACAACAGCGGTGAGCATCTTGGAAGAAGAGAGCCTGTTACGTACGTATCTAGCATCGCGTGCACCCACTCAAGTGCAGTTGTCGAACGAGTCGCTGGGTAAGAAGGGGTCTTGGATGCAGATTGGCCTAGACGCCCGCACTAGATTTTGCACAGCATCGATGGTGGACTTGAGGCATTTCCCTCCGCATTCCTGGGTCAGAGAAACCACTCAGCTCAAGATGGATCCTAGCTTTCTTGATGCAAGCAGCTGGCGACTGTAAGTAAATTCTGAATATATGCCATGATAAGGGACGGGGTGCCATTGGCCGTGATGTCTGTCACCAAAAGTGTCGCTTCCTTTCTGGGAACATATGTCAAGCTAACTGTTGTGCTTGGTTGATATATCCAAAGGTATTTGGGCGTACATCCTACATCCCACAAAGAATCGAAAGTTGGACCAGGCATATCAGGAAATATCAAATTAGACCAACGGTCTAATTCTCTTTAAGCATGAATGATGCAGCACATCCAAGCCGTTCCACCACAAGGGCATGTGCTTCAAAAACGGCGAAAGGCTATTCTCAAAACTGAAGTGCGACAGATCGAAGAACCCTGGGTCCACATTGAAGGCGTGGCAGTCGTGGCTCTTCAGCATTTGACTGGTGGCAGCTAGTGTCTTGCATCTTGGTTGCCTAGCTTGTCTTGAGAACGGTGAGTTCTTCTGATCGACGAGTAAGTGAATCCCTGCAGGCCCGCGGTATTTTCGTACCTGGACTACTGTAAATCTCTCTCTGTAGGTGGTTGAAGGGAAGCGTTTCTGGAAGCACACCTCAAGAGGAAGAGTGGGTCACCATCAACTTGCTGCATCACCTGCGCGGGAAGACATGAACCGACCAACCAGATATCGAATGAAGGCAACCAGGAGGATCACGACCAGGACTGGCCGAGGCACCGAGACAGGTCGTTTCATGCCTCAGAGTTTTGTTGTTGTTTTGTTATTGTTGCTGACGTCGCTTGCAATCCATCATCTCATTTCATTTCTTTGCATTTGATTTGATTAGATTAATCAAACGCGACCCTAAGACGTCCTGGCGTCTCAAGCTGAGCTACGTGTATAATGCGGATATTGCTTCACACAACATATTCCATCCAATGATAAGACTCCGAACAGAGTGCAGTAAGAGAATGCCTAATGTGGTTCTGATCGGCATTCGAGAGAAGGATGGTAATAATTGTGATGACGATGGTCGCTTTTTTTCCAGCAGCTAATTCTTTTTTTTTTTTTTTTTTCCTAGAAAAAAAACATTCAGTAGCGATATAAGATCAACCACCCAGAGAATACGTGGTGTTAAAAAAAAAACTAAAAAAACTCTGGGGATGGACGAATGAGGCAAAGGATATGCTAGAGATCAGTCAGTGGCCACGCAGAAATTTCCATCTGGCGCTTTCTTCTGAGGCGCTCCTTCCTCCCCTACGCTGACCGTCTGACGGTTTAAGCCACGAGCATGATCAGGAGCGACCTGAGTCTGAAAAAGGGCAAGGCTGGCAGCGACTTCCATGCTAGTGACGTCTCCAGACTCCAACCACCCCAAGCGTGGCAACTGTGAGCTTTGCCTTCTGTGCCTGCTCAATGAACGAAAGTTTGCTGGCCAAAACACGGCAACGGTGATTGGTTGGGCATCAGTGTTGCAGGCAGACTTGGCTCAGATGCACATAACGGTTCTCGAGCTTCCGATGGATGGATGCCCTGAGTATGACCTAGGTACAGGTAGGTAGGCAGCTAGGTGCCTGGGTAAGCTAGAAGAATGAATTCAGGAGGTTAGAATTGGCCCCTGGAACCAGTCAAAGTGTGTAACTTCATGTGGATTACAGAACATGGCAGATTCCAGTGTGATACGAAAATACGCCTGAATTCGTCCCATCAGTCATTTATTAGACATAACAGTATATCACCTTGGCTGATGAAAGCTTCAACGTTTGGTCGATACATCGTCAAACTGTCACAGTAATAGTGGAGGACCTCGCCTGTCTCCGAGGAATGGCCCCCGATGGCTCGGATCAGGTGAGGGCTTACTATGTATGAGTCGCAAATGCCAGAAATAGCGTCCACTGCCGCCTCGGAGTCGACGCCAGACCAGCCTGCCAGGGATGGGTAAACGGAAAGCTAATAAGGCAGTGCGTGAGTCCCCATGACTTTGCGGGATATGTATGAAGTGTACCTGGCCTGACCTGTACCGAAGTGCATCACAATGGGAAGAAACTGCAGTACTCTCGTCATCGTAGCGAGCATCCCATCCTCATCAGGACAACCAGATCGTAAAGTCTGCCCTCTCGTTCTCTCCATCGAGCCGCTTCAATTGATGAATGATGATACCCTGGATCAGCCACTGAGCTAACATTGGCTGGCAAGGCTCTGTGGATCTCCTGGCCGAAGCGACGCTAGGGCGACCAAGTCCAAGGAAGCGTGGAACCACTGAGATGGATGACTACCAGGTGGATGCGGTACTGTCTGTACCTGGTAGACCATGAAGATGGATGTGAACCCTTTTTGCACCGAAGACTCCGAGTTTCCTGGTTAATCATCAACACTATGTACATGATCTTCCTGTCTGATGGAAGAACATGGATAGCATTGTTTTTGCCGCGATACGTTGCGTACGCGTGTTTTACATTTGCAGATGCGTGAATGCTGACGCATATGACTCCTTAGATTTTATTTACAATTTCCGGATGACTGATATTGAAAGTATCACTTGCTGCCGGGTAAGATGCTGTGAGGCATGAGGCGAGGTACACGCACCAGGGATTCATACCCAGTACCGTGCAGTACTCCAGGTAAAGCAGGTTGACCCACGACCGCGGTGAATGTGGTGGTGACGACCTCTGGCTACATAGCAGTAAGCGCTCTGCTTGGTCAGTTTGTTGAATGAAGTTCCCACTCATGGTTCTGCTGGGTTTCTCACGCATCCCGTCCTTGTCCTTGTCCCGTCCTCCAAGCCAGCCTAAGCAGGGCGCCACTTTCTGTCCCTTTTGACTGGGCCCCTTGGAATTCCAACCGTCATTTGCCAGAGCAATGTGTATTCTTTGGCTGGAGTCCACCGCTTATAGATACATACAAGTCAGAGACGTGATCCACTTTGAACCGAACTCCACCCTTGCTAGGGTCTACAGTCTTCCACCAGGATTCGATTCGTCTCGACAAGTGCTCACTCGTCAACGACAACGCGACTCGCTGTTTGCTCTGCTGCTCCACGCCCTCCGCCGTCACTTGTGCTCCGTGCGTAGGTCGTGAGGTGCATTGCCTGGGGCTTGCAGGCTTAGGCTTGCTAGGGGGTGCAGGCACTAGAAAACGAGGAGTGAGGGCCCATCCATCCCCATCCACCCATTTGCCCATTTCGAATCCACCCATTTCACTCCTGTTGGCCTGACTCCTTCGCTCGAGGAGGGAAAAAAAAAAAAAAAAACTGGCTGGGAGTGAAGTGACTGGGGACCTGGCAACTGTCGGGCACTACTACGCTACGCTGGTTGTACGTTGACGCTTGTCTTGGCTACGTACCGAAGCCGTTACTGCTACGACGATTCCTGCGTCTTGGCTGGAGAAAAGCGGCGTACTCGTACTCTGGTGCTTGTACTGATGCTTGTATTTGCCAGTACAAGTCACAAGTCACAAGTCACCACCTCACAAACTCACACACTCAAAATTCACTCAGGCTCACTTCACTGCAACGCAACGCAACAGTGGAGGAACGAACACCCGACCTGACCTGAAGCCCACCTCACCTCACCCTAACCCGCCACGCCCTCCTCCACACTAACTGCACACTGCCTGCAACTTGTACTGCACCTCAAGCACCAAAACTGCCTGCACTTCAGTCGCTGGACAGGACTGGGCCCTGGCTGGATTGGCCCTGCCGCAGTGCATCATCCCCATCCATCCCCATCCCCATCTCCCCATCTTGCCATCCAATCCGTTCGTTCATCTTTCTCCTGGCCCTGTCCGTACTCTTCTCTTCTTTCATCCTCTTCCACCTCCCTCATCATCCTTTTTCCTTTTTCCTTCCTCTACCCTCATCCTCTTCCTCTCCACGATAGAAACCGAATCCTCTCAATTCCTTGACAATCACCAGTCAGCAGGCCTTCATTTGGTTTGTCGACGTTAGGGTTCTGGTCCTTTTCTCGCGCGAGTCTCTCTCTCCTTGCCCTGTCCGTGTCTCTTCTGCAGCTCGCTGCTACTGTAGACTAAGCTGCATATTTCCGACCTGCCTGCTCTACGTCTCGACCTCGAGTCTCATCCTCACCAGTAACTTTCGGATCTGCGGTCCCAGGGCTTCCTCCTCCTCCTTCAGCTATACGTTTCCTTACTCTCGTACGACTGTCCTTTTGTTCATTCTGGTGAGTGCAACTTGTTTTAGCTTTTGCTCTGTTCACAAACGACTGGTCCTTGTCTGTTCGACGGAACGACCTTCGAGTTTATGCTGCCGACATGGAACATTATCCCGAATTGCCTTTTTTGTTTGCTGTTTAACCGACCAGCGTGCTTCCAAACTTCATCGCTCTACCTTTCGATAACTTGCACTCTACATCTACGACCACGAAGACAACCTGACCAGTTTATTTTCGTTCCCGATGCACTGCCGATCACACTAGAATGAAGAACTAACAGCCAGCTGTACAGATTGGTTGGATCTCAGACACGAGGTTTACTATATATCATCGACATTGATTTATTCTCGTTCACGACAAAAGCAATTCTATTTCGGTCCCCCCAGTTGACCGTCACCACAAGTCGACACAATCGTCTCGACTCGTCTCTGTATACGTTTTATCCCTGCTTGTCGCCCTAACTCGCGAAGAAAAGCATATCAGTAAATGGCCCGAGTAGCCTACTGATTTCCTGTCGATTACTGTCGACTAAGCCTTGACGCACGCTCGCATTCACGCTCAGCTCACAGGACCGTCTTGACTGTGGTATAAACCCGCAGTTTCGCTTTACGGTCTTAAAAAAGCTTCAACTTCCGACAAAGGTCGCGTTCCGATCTTCGTCGGACCTACCCCAATCCTTTCATCATGCCCGGAGGCGTGTGTGCCGTCCTCGATTACGAGGTCGACATGATGTCCGAGTACGTTGCTGAGATGGCCACTCGCGTTGTTACACCCGAGGCTGCTGTGACCTCGCCCTTTCGCAAGTTCGTGTCTCAGATCCTCACTTCAACACGACTGCCCAGTACCACGATTCTTCTTGGAATGAACTATCTCGCCAAGAGAATCAACACCTTGAAGGGACAGGGTCCTTACAAGGCCTCTGAGGGTCAGGTCTGGCGCTACCTGACTGTTTCTCTGCTTCTGGGAAGCAAGTTTCTCGATGACAACACCTTCCAGAATCGCTCTTGGTCTGAGGTGAGTGGCATTGCTGTGTCAGAGCTCAACTCGCTTGAGTTCGAATGGGTCGAGTCCATGGGTTGGCGACTGTATGTCAATCTCGATATGAGCAAGGACTACCAGGCCTGGCTTGAGAACTGGCGTGAATGGCAAGAGATCAAGAAGCGACAGGTCGCCCAGGCCAGCCGCGAGAGGCTTGCATCTATTGTCCCCGCCATCGACACGGAGATCGCCAGATATTCTGGCCAGCGCCAGTCACCTCACTCGCGTTACCTTCAGGAACAGGTCGCCGAGTATGAGCGTTACCAGGCCATGAAGGCTCAACAACAAAGCTATCGCCCACGCGAATCTGGCTGGGGCCAAAGCTCTTGGGGTGCTCCCCTTACGCCCCCCGATTCCGGATATGGCACTCCAGACTATGCCATGTCAGCTACGTCGAGCAATGAGCGCTATAATGAGTGGTTTTCACAGGCTGCTACTCAATATGCTACTCGATACCCTCAGCCTCCTGCTCAGACCACCTTCTATCCCAACTCGCGCCACAACTCCTACGGCGGCCACTACTCGTACTCTCAGAACATGTGGGAACATGGTCTTGCCGAGTGCAGCTGCGCTGCTTGTGTGGATCCCATGAAGCAGCAGGCTCCTTATTTCGTGCCTCACGGCTACAGTCAGCCCGTCATGGGTTAAACGTTTTTCAAAAGTTTCGCATAATGGCTCTCTATTCGAGCGCAGTTCGGTCTTGGAAAGAAGAAAAAAGTTTTACAGGGTTTTCATTTTTTACGGCCACGATTTCCTTTTTATTACACGCATCCCGAGAACGATAAATTCGCATTCAGATACCCCAGGCACGACAAAATTGTTCATAACATGACCTTTCGGCGGATCATTCTCAGGATTTTACTCTACAGCCACGACTTGATGACAGGAGCTGAAAAGCCTGATCCATTCTCCTCGCGAGTCATCATGACGCACCAACGTCAACTCAAGTCCGAAAAATGTGGCTTTTTCTTTGTTGTTTTATTGGTTAAACGTTCTGTAATGGTCATAATCGGCGTTCGGCTTTTTCATTTTACACTACACGGTTCCAGCTCGATAGACTTGCGGTTTCTTCGGTTTCCAAAGACTTCTGCGCGCATGGTTTCCCTCTGTTCGACATTTCCGCCCTCATCATACTCCAACTCGAGTATATCGCCGCTTCACTTGAGGCTCGGACAATGACCGGACATGGGCATAAATCTCAAGCGCAGTATCTTTGTTATAGATGGCGACTCAGCAGAACTTGGTCGCTGCCATTCACTCGACACTAGATTCTGTGGTAAACGCAGGATTGTGCGAATCTGGTCACAATTTATTCTGACCATCTTTTCCCTTTCATGATCTCGTCGTGGCACAGATCGATATGAAAGTCGATTCGACACGAGTACCATAGGTCGGATGGACTGAGCTATGCGACAGGAATCTTGAGGACGGTACATATTTTCCCTTTTTCTTCTTTTTCTTTTCTTTGTTATTGCAAGTGGCAGATATGAATTTTGACCACAGGAAACGGTTTCACACGACGGGGTTATGCATTGCGTTCAGCGGGTAAAACAAAGGAATTGGATTTGATCACTTTGATCATAGGGTTTGATATCATATTGTTTGTACTTTCCTGGGGTTCGTCATCGTCACGGCTCCAGCCTGGAGTGGTGTCAGATTTGACGCCAAGGAAAACGAGTATTGTACTCTTGACTCTTGTCTTTCACAGGTTTCGGTGTCGGGCATTACAGTGAGATGTTACCAACGGGGTGTTGGCATCTGCTTTTCGTCACGTCGGCTTAATGGATTCATTATATTGCCGACTATGTTTTTTATTGCTATTGCATCTTTTCTCACGACTTGGTATGATTCTTACGGAATATTTGAGCATCATACAAGGGCACGATCCAATGCAGCCTGCAAGAATCAACTGCTTGGAACCTTGGTGTTGCCATTCAACAACCGAATGTATTTTTTTCAGCCATTCAGAGCTGTCTATAGGTAGTAGTTTTTGTGTACAATGTGCGCAAATAAAAGGTGTTGAAAGCAAAACTATTTGGTAATGATTTGAATGGCTCAGCCCATTTGAACGAACCTGATGCAGTTGTTGGAAGGTTCACGAGATGTCTGTGGAAGGATGACATTCTCAGGATACTCCTTGTTTATGGAGCGAGAGATGACGCGAGGTGGTGACTCGTGACTGCTACTCATATTTGACTCATGTGCAAAAAAAGAAGGAAAAATCAGCTTGCGTACCGAGACTTGCTAAAATGAAAACACAAAATATTATCATATGACTGCTACTATTTACCGTTTCCGAGCTGATTTGTGCACAAACTGTCTGTGATGGCTTTTGAAGTGGACTCACTGATTGCGCCGTTGACCGGCAGATTATCGGATAGTTGGAGCACTCATTAAAACATCCTGAAGCTGAGTCTCAGATTCCACATACCTATAGAACGTGATAATAGTCTTATAATTGCTTTCCTTGTTCTCACCAGACGTGTCCGTTCAAGACGTAACCTCCAATCCAGGTCAGATAATGCCTAGCCGCTTCGTATCGGCTGGCAAGATCGGCTCATCTGGAGAGATCTCGAAAGACGCCAGTGGCACAGAATCAACACCTCAACAGCCGCTGCACAATTCCGCTAAATCCAAAGAATGGGAAGCGGTTGAGAAACAGTTGGAAGCTGAAAGAAAGAAGCGCGAGGAACAGCGCATCAAGGCTGCTACAGGAGAAGGCGAGAAGACCTTATATGACGTCCTCCAGGCAAACAAAGGTAAGGCCCTTCTTAAGATCATTTCACATTTTTTAACTGAACACAACAGCGGCAAAACAGGCCGAATTTGAAGAGCAGACCAAACTACGTAACCAGTTTCGTGCATTGGATGATGACGAGATAGAGTTCTTGGATGAGATACGCGCCAACAAGCGTGCAGAAGAGGAACGCGTGAAACGAGAGACGGAAGAAGGTCTAAAGGCATTTCGAGAGCGACAAAAGGGCGATACTGCTCAGGGCGAAACTGCTGGTGTTGAAGAAGAAGGCGAGTCATGGGAGATTGGTCGTAAGAGGAAGCGCACGAAAGAGAAAGATGTCAAGGGGCTGAGGCGAAAAGTCAGCGCAGCGGAGGAGAAACAAACTGGGAAGCAAGATACAAAGCCAGTCGAAGGCCCGAGTCGTGATACGTTAGATGAGAAGTCCAGGACGACAAATCAGTCAGCTGCAAAGCCACCAGAGAAGAAGGGGCTAGTATTGGTGGGTTATGGGAGCGATTCAGATGATGACGATTGAAGGTCTGAGCAAACCACAGTAACGCTGAGGCTACATGAGGCTACATGATGAATGGGGATCAAATGCCATTGAATCATAGAGCATAATAGACCAAGACCATGCTCGATGCCGTACCTCATTCTATCATTAGTGTTACATTGGCACCAGCCCCTCGCCTGGTATAATATACAAAATTTGGGTCGTGACCAGGAGATGCACTCCATAACAGAAAAACAGAAATTGTAGTAATACATGAACATACACAGCGGTGTCCCCTGTCCCACCGCGCCCCCTTTTTATGTCAAAGAACAACACTCCGTTCTACTCATCGCTGTCCACATTACCAACATTAGGTCTCATGGGCTTGGCAGTCACTGATTCAACAGTATAGTTCCACAAGCTGCGGAAGCTTCCTTTTATCCATCCCTCAATCTCGGCCTCAGAGACCTTGATATGTGCGGCGCGGGCTTCATCTTCAGGGGCAATCTCAAAGCGCCGCATGCGCTGCGCTAATCGAGGGTCAATGACCATAGGCGCAGGCCAAATTTTCTCCTTGGGGGGCTCAGTAGGCACAGTGGCGGTGTTGTCATCATCTTGCTTGGGGGGGTCCTCGGGCTTCCAAACTGACTTGACCCAGTCGTTCTCCTCATGCTTTAGAACGAGCTCCTGCTCATACTGACCATCGGCCTCTCGCCACTCACGAGAAGAGTTGGCGAAGCATACAGCAGCGACCTCGCGGCCGATCTCGTCGGCTAGTTTGCGGCGGTTGAAGAAGCGGTTCAGGCGGACCAGAGTGTGACGGAAGCCCAGGCGGTGGGGAAGAGGGATGGGGTTTGCGGGGGAAAACTCGGCGGGAATTTGAGGAGGGAGATTGGCGATGGAATAATCGGCGGTGGTGTTGTAGGGCAGTGGTTGGGGTGGTCGCTCAGGCTTCTTCTCTTCCTCCTCCTCCTTCTTGCCCTCCTTCTTCTCTTCGGGCTGGTCACCTTCGGCCTTGGGAGTCTCAGAATCCGCCTCGACAGTTTTTGTTATAGGCTCAGGCTTTACGGGAGGGTCAAGAGGACCAAGCCAACCCTCGTGTAGTCCCCTGATATATTCCTTCCATGTATGTCGGCCGAAGATGATATCGCCTTTGACACCCTCATACTCTGGAACCTGGTTCTTCTTCCTCAATGACTCAGTTATAGCCTCGTCTGTTTGTAGGTCCTCTTCATCTGGCCTCTCATACTTCCTCCTCTCCCTACGAATCTTCTCTGCTACGGCAGCTCTCACATCACCTTGTTGTCTTCCCTGAACGAACTCCCAGTCAAGACCAGAGGCAGCCAAGACGGGCTTGGCATACTCAATAAAATGGTCCTGTGCAATCCGTAGACCATCGCCAGGAGGCGCCTCGAGGTAAATGGTCAGTTTGCGAGGCAGTTGGCTTGCTGAGGGGATTATGTCCTTCGCGAGAGGGGCAACAGCGTGCTTCCACTTCGCAGTAGCCCTCTTCTTCTCGCGCTTGTCGTAGATGATAGCAGCTGAAATAGAACCAGTGATAGCCCAAAATATAAGCCAGTTGCGCGAGGGAAGTTTTCGAGGGAGATTTGGCAGACCCATCATCCGAAGAGCTGGGTTCTGTTTCGGCTTTGGTGTGGGCGCCTTGTACGTTGCGCCGGTGCCGGCAGCGGGCTGCTGCGCTGAAGGGTTGGGCTCGGCCATTATGCGTATCGAAGGGTTACGGCGGTGTTTATTGTGCGATCCGCAGGCCTGAAAAGTCAATCGCCTTGGTATTCGAGCCGTTTAAGCCACAGGATAGCAAGGGTGTTAATATCGACCTCGTCTTGATCTGTTGGTCCGCCGAAGGAAAAAAAACCACGATAAGCGATAAGCGGCTCCGATAAGGCCCGGGCGGTCGGGAAGGAAATACTTTAGCTCCGGTCATTATATGAATTGAATAGAGGTATCTTCGGTTTTGTATTAACGAACTGAAATATCAGGATTTAAAACGTGACTGATTCTGGTTTCCTTTCACCTAGTTAGGTATATGATATTTACTGAACATTTATTTGTCTGTAGTGCGTTGAGAGTCACAGTCTTCACGAGTCTCACTAAACTTCCATAAAGCTTCTAGAAACGGTAGGGAATAATGACCTATGTTGTGATCAGAAGATGGAGTCTTCGTTGTTGATGTTCTGATTTCAGGAGAGCTGCTTGTAGCATGTTGCAGATGAAAAAAAAAAAAAAAACAATGTCGCTTTCCTCAAATGGCTTGACTAACTCAGGTATCACTGTGATGCCATTCAAGTTCTTGTGTGATGATCACCGTTGAATTGCCATGTGGGAAACAAGCGAATGTTGTAATAAAACCCGATGGGAGTCAACGTGGGCATGTTACATCTGGCAATACTACTCAAGGTCCATGTTAATATAACATGAGAACTACGCGAAATAGATGGTGGATAATAGAGTAAGCCCCGATCTCCTACAATCACAATTCCTCTGATAATAACCATCCATAGGGAAATAATTGAGAATACGGATACTCAAGAGGCTGAGAGGTCCCTGCTACACATGGGTGACAGGTTCACCTGAAGCTCAGGAATTGTACCACAGACAGCAACATCTGGGGGAACACAACAACAGGGGTTCAGCCCCTGAGGGGTCTATCGGTAAGGATAGCCTGGGATGAAGATTATAGTTCAGCGGCTAGGATGAAAAAAAGTGCCATGGTATGGAGTATATGATGGTCAGTACGCGATCAAGTCATCACCAACGCCGCTTGTTGGTGTTGAAAATTAGTTCGAGAGGAGATACAGGAGATGCCAATCTCCCATTAGTTGAATGTGATGGGCGTAGAAGTCATCATGGTGAGGAAAACATTGGTCTACTGAAGTGAATACTTTGCTATTCGAGGCAATCACATTCGTTACAAGTGGAGGCATTGACTGGTGTGCAATTCCGCTTCCAACAACTTCTTGTTCGTAAAATGAATTCTTGCTGATACCTGAAGATTCAACTTATATAGATGTCTCGGGCATCCAAGTTAGTTAGACACTTACATAGGTAGGTAGTTAGGTACTGAGATTATAGCAGCCACAGCACCCCATCATCGGAATGATTGCCACTAAACACCGCTAATTTCAAGCTAAACTGTACCGGTTCAGGTCGCCCGCCACGCTTTCAATTCTGTTGCTGGACCCTTCAGACTTGACCCCTCGGATCTCTTCCCCCAAATGACATGGAACCAACCTATGCGACTTCACGGCCCGTCTTGTGCCAGCCGCTAACCGCCAACTTTGACCATTCCTTAGGCTTTGCCTGAACCAAGCCAAAACACCAGGGAAGGACGACCCATCCCTGCACGTTTCGGCTCGGGGAGCACAAGTGAAGGTCGTGCAGTGCAGGTGGTGACAGTGGCAGTGACAGCAGTGGCAGCACCTGTCATATTTGATCTTAGTGGAGGGAGACTGCCTGGTACCCAAGGTCAGTAAGGTAAGGTAGCCAAACGAAAATCCTCAAAAGTACCTCCTGGGCTTTTATACGGAATCCGTTTTCCCCTTCTCCTTCAACTCTTTCTCTCAAAATCATCCATTTTTATTTCTTTTCGTCTCTCCTTCAATCTGAGACCTTCACCGACCGTGCACCAGTCTCTTGGTGCTCCGCCAGAGGTGGCTCTGGTGCTACTTTACCCGTATTGTACTCCCCTACCCAGGCACTCTCCAGTTGGCAGTACCTAGGTAGGTAAGGGTACTAACTGTAACTGACCTTCCTGCGGAAAGGTAGCTCTAGTCCCGCGCCGCCCCTCGCTCTCCCCTCCACAGCCCCTGGACTTGACCCTCCCCTGAAACTTGTCCGCCATCTCGACTCCCACCTCAGTCTTGATTCTTTTCACCTCTTCAAGAGTTGTTCACCAACTTGTCGATACGATACAGGGCGAAACGAGGCGATCGAGACGCCGCAATCAGACAAGATGGATCCCAACAACAACAACAATCGCCTCTATCTCAATTTTGGCAACGGCAGCGACCGTTTGACCGCCTCGGACAGGGCAGCATATCCCACTACGCCTTCGACCTTCCCGCAGCCCGTTTTCCCTTCAGCTTCAGGTCAACAGCCTGGTGGATTGCAACCCCAAGGTCAACAGCAGCAGCAGCAATATGCTGGTGGTTATGCGCCCCAGGGTTACTTTAATCAGAACCAATATGCCCAGTATGGCGGCCAGCAACAGCAGCAGTCCAATGACTATGCTCAGGGTGCTGGGTATCAACCACGATCCAATACCCCGGGCACCAACGACCCCAACACAGGTCTCGCTCACCAGTTCTCTCACCAGAACCTCGGAGGTGCTGCTCGAGGGCAAGGTTATGCTCGAGGTCCCTCTCCGGGTCAGCGTCCAAGGACCGCTGGTAGTACAGGACAGCAGCCTGGCTACAACAGCTACATGAACGCCCCTCCTATGCCTACACAGGCCTCTGCCCCCGCAGAAGAATTCCAACGTGCACCCGAGCGAAACCCTGATCGATATGGTACAAATGCCAATAGCAACCAAAAGAAGTGTTCTCAGCTCGCCGCCGACTTTTTTAAGGATAGTGTCAAGCGTGCCCGCGAGCGCAACCAAAGGTATGTGCCCACGTGCCTCGGTCTCGTTGCTGTCCAGGAGAGTTGTGCAACTAACTCATGATCACTATACAGACAAAGTGAATTGGAGCAGAAGCTTCAGGACCCCTCACAGGGCGCCGCTAGACGTGAGCAGCTCTGGTCCACTGCTGGCAGAAAAGAAGGCCAGTATCTGCGTTTCCTTCGTACCAAGGACAAGCCCGAAAACTATAATACTGTAAAGATTATCGGAAAGGGTGCCTTTGGAGAGGTCAAGCTTGTGCAGAAGAAGGGTGATGGCAAGGTCTATGCTATGAAGTCTCTGATAAAGACGGAAATGTTCAAGAAGGACCAGCTTGCACACGTTCGATCAGAGCGAGACATTCTCGCAGAGTCCGACAGTCCATGGGTCGTCAAGCTCTACACCACCTTCCAGGACTCATACTTCCTCTACATGCTAATGGAGTTCTTGCCTGGTGGAGATCTAATGACAATGCTTATCAAGTATGAAATTTTCTCGGAGGATATCACTCGCTTTTATATTGCGGAGATTGTTCTCGCTATTGAGGCTGTCCACAAGTTGGGCTTCATCCACCGGTATGTATCACCTCCCCTCCCCCCGTTTTCCTGCGAACAGCGTCTGACCTTCAATAGTGATATCAAGCCTGACAACATTCTCCTCGATCGCGGAGGACATGTCAAACTCACAGATTTTGGCCTGTCAACGGGCTTCCACAGGCTTCATGATAATAATTATTATCAGCAGCTGTTGCAAGGCCGATCAAACAGGCCTCGCGACCGTAACTCGGTTGCGCTTGACCAAATCAACCTGACAGTCAGCAATCGATCCCAGATCAACGACTGGAGACGATCTCGAAGACTTATGGCGTACTCGACCGTCGGAACTCCTGACTACATTGCTCCTGAGATTTTCACTGGCCACGGCTACACCTTCGACTGTGATTGGTGGTCACTCGGCACGATCATGTTCGAGTGTCTGGTCGGCTGGCCTCCTTTCTGCGCCGAAGACAGCCATGACACCTACCGCAAGATTGTCAACTGGAGACAAACTCTGTACTTTCCAGATGATATCACACTGGGTACCGATGCGGAGCATCTTATCCGAAGGTAAGCAATCATCTCGAGGGTCAAGGGGAACGCAGGTTGCTAACAGAAAGTAGCATGGTCTGTAACACAGAGAACCGTCTCGGCCGTGGTGGTGCCCACGAAATCAAGGGTCATGCTTTCTTCCGCGGTGTTGAGTTTGATAGCCTGCGCCGTATCCGCGCACCCTTCGAGCCTCGCTTGACCTCCAACATCGACACGACTTATTTCCCTACTGATGAAATTGATCAGACCGATAACGCCACTGTCCTCAAGGCACAGGCTATCCAGCAAGGCCACAAGGTTGAGGAGTCTCCAGAGATGAGCTTGCCATTCATCGGCTACACATTCAAGCGATTTGATAACAACTTCCGATAAATGGGTTGAGGTGGCATGGCTTGCGGCATGGTCTCTCCACGAAGCGAACCCAGTTCTGTGAACGGGCGCTGTCGATGGAAAAAGGGGCGGCAACCCGGATGAGTACAACGAGTCCTTCAAGCAGTTATTCATGACATGATAGACGAAGCGAATACTGTGCGAGGCTTGCCCTTTTGTTGAGCCTTTTGGCTGTTTCGATGCATGTTTTTGATGATACTATGGTAGCAGGTCTGGTTCAGATGGAGGGGCATACAAAGTCGGTCAGGACGTTTGCTGTCTGCAATTTGCATCGCATTATACAGGACATGTAACAAAACACGAGGTTTCCAGACACTGCTATACAAGTCAATAATAATATACTGAAGCAAAACATATGGAGATGTACCGTGATAGGGCATGTATCTGAGCTGTGTTGTTTGAGACATGCCATTTGAAATACAGTCTAATTGAACTGCTGTGCCGTGATCACAGGAGAGTGAGTGATAAGTATACATGAAACTTGGCAACCCATACACAGCAACAAGGCTCTACTGGTGTTTATTTCGAGACTTGGATGCTTCAGACAGAATTATTGCAAAAAAAAAAAAAAAAAAAAAAAAAAACACCGTAACGCCGTCCCATGACCCAGATATCCTTTTCTTTACTCCCAAGATGCAAATAACCATAACCACCAGAAGGTAAATAAATGGGCCATTACCTCCTTGCCGTCAAACCAGGAGCCGCGTTGAAACGTTCCTCACGCTCAGTCATAAACATGACCTGAATCCAATACTCCTTGGCATCCGGATCCCAAAAGGCAAACTGCTTGTCCTCGCGCTTGTCAAGCTCACGGGCAGGAATTTTGAAGCCAACTGTCTCGTAAGGTTCGGCGGCGACGAGTAGGTATTGGAAGTTCTTGTCGGGCTCCTCAACGTGCTGAGTGAAGGCGTTCATGACCTGCCACTTGGGAGATGTTTCGGGGGTCGCATCGGGATATTGGAGCTGGAAGAGCAGACCCTGCTGACGAGAGACAGGGTCGCGGATCTTGGTGATCTTGTATCCTGGGCGCCCGATCTTTACGACGTTGCGACGCTGCGCGAAGCCTGCACCTGTGACTCCAATGGGGAGACCAGTAGCTGGGTCAACGGCGCCTTGACGACCTTCTTTTTGCTCACGAGCAGCGCGACGGGCGAGATTGGTCTGGTGTTTCTTGCCCTGGGTATGAGCGAGGTAGGAGCCATCATTCTGATGAACCGTGAGACAAAGACGGCACTCGAACGAGCCGACGTGATTCTTGAAGAAGTAGGGGTCCTTGTCGAGGTCGATGGTCTCGAGAGCGAGCTTGCGAAGACGTTCGCGACGATCGGCGTTGGTGGCGGATTGAGAAGCGACGCCTCCACCGCCGAATTTCGAGCCGGCGCGGTTTTGGAAATCCATTGTCGAGGTTTTGTGATGTGAGGAGTGGTGATGGAGATGAACGGTTGATTGGCGCGAGGGTCAGAAAGAAAGAAAAGCGCGATTGAAGGTGGAAGTATGGAGTTGTACTGAGAACTAGGTACCTTACTTAAGATACCTAAAGAATTATGTGGAGACCAAGGCAAGGGTGGCTGACCAATCAGACACTGAACATGCACTTGAACAACTTATATCGACCATGTCTAACATCTGACAAATAAGACGGAGATATTTATCAACCTGTATAGTGTTTCGAATAAAGGTCTAATAATACGACTTGCAGTTAGATTTTGACTATTCTCGCACGCTTAGAAACCCATGCCTCAACACAACTGACAAACCTGTCAAACTCGTCCGTGGGAGTGTCGAGCACCAAAGCCATGAATCCTCTGCGTACGACCCAGAAACCCTCCTCCATCATCTCAAGCCAAAAAAGGTCCCTCAAGGAATCGAGTTCTTCGACTTCACCAGATCTTTCGATCACACGAGAACCATCCTTGGGAAAATGGACCCCCATGATAGTGCCGATACCAGTAAAGAGCACTCTTGTATCCTTTGTTACTACATTGAGCCGCTCCATGAGCTCATCTCCAGATCTGGTGAATTGAGCTGCAACCTCAGGCGTGTAGATCTTTGTCAGGCCAGCGTAGCCAGCGTGTGTCACCAGAGTGTTGTTGTTAAAAGTGCCCGAATGCGAGAGAGCAGTGGGAAGCCGTGGATCAAAAGCAGCCATGATATCTGCTCTACCGCCGAAAGCACCAAAAGCTAGGCCTCCACCGAGATACTTTCCAAAGGTCTTGAGGTCTGGTTTGAGTCCCCTCATTTCGGAGATGCCCCCTCCTGAGAGACGGGAGGTCATGACTTCGTCGATGATGAACAAGACGCCGGCCTGAAACTGTGAGTATACAAGATGGAGTAGACAGAGCACGTAGACCTACATTTCCAGCAATCTCTTGTATGCCCTGGAGAAATTCAGGGTGTCCGGGAATGCCACCTCCAGAGCCTTGCATCCCTTCCACCAACACTGCAGCAATACCCTCACTCTCAATAGCTGCACGAGCGCTGTCAAGATCGTTGTATCTGGCCACGACCCAATCATCCAGGTCGACATTATTGGCCTCTGGTTTCCCTCCCTTGAATCCTATCACAGCACCATGATAGCCCCCACTGAAAGTGACGACTTTTCTTTTCTTGGTGAAAGCCCTGGCAGCTGCTAGAGCGTGGATGTTGGCTTCAGTACCAGAGTTACAGAAGCGTACATGTTCCAGATTGAAGCGACTGCAGACTTCACGAGCGAATATCTGCTCTTGAGCTGTATTGCCACCAACATTCATGCCTACATTGTCAAGCACATCTCGAATAGCCGAGATAATGACAGGGTTGGAATGCCCATAGAGAGCAGCTGTGAACTCGCCGGTGAAGTCTGTATAACTATATGATCCGTAAGCAGAACTCTTGGTTGTAATAGCTTACAGGACTTACGTATGTCCATCCTCAGAAGTAATCTGATGGCCTTTGCCAGACTTGATCACCACAGGGAATGGACTAGCGTGCAGAACAGTCCTCGTGTTCCCGCCAGGCATTGATTTGAGAGCTTCATCGTGAAGAGCCTTGGATCGAGGATTACGATCAATGTATCGAGTCGTGGCGGCCTCGAGTTCCGCCTGAATTTGCTGGATGAGTTCTGAAGACATGGCTACCTGTGGTGTTGACTTGGCGTTTAGTGTAAGTGTGTGCTGGCATCCAAGAGGAAAGGCAATGAATTATATATGTTGTTTCAGAACTGGTTTCAGTTGATCGATTTTACAACGATACAGATTCTTTCGCATTTCGGGAACAAGTGATAGCCATGGCATGTTGATATGTACCTAGTATGTTGCGGTGGCTTTCGGGTCTACCTTGGTATGTTATCGGGTTTCGGGTCTGGCGTGGGCATAGTTTCCACCGACTTGTTCACAACGATCCAAGTTAAGGAACTGCCAGAGTGACCATACAATCAACGGGTTGATGGGTTTAAGATTGATACTGAAAGTCCTTGTGTTAATTAAGCCCCTTATATCATGCTTTTCAATCACTTGAACTAGGATATTCCCAACACAGACATGTATCAGTAGATATGGGAACTCGAAGAGTCTCAAGCTAGACAAGACCTCAAACAGCATGGAATTGAGACTGGATTGAAATATTTGACTTGTGACTTTGTGATACATTTCATCGCTATCTGTAAATAGTAAGTCAACTCATCAATCTCAGGTTCCCTTTAGGTTGATTCACCGGCAAAGATACGTACCTTCCGAAGTGGGGGAAGAAAAGCGGTCTGAAAAATAAAGCGGCAGAATTTGATATCCCACTTAATTTTTCGAACTTTTGGCCGAGACTATGCAGTGAAGACGAGAACTAGACAAGACAAGCCGATCACAGTAAAATCAAGTCAAAGATTTCGCAATGGCCGGCTCAATTACCAAACCCAAGAGTAGGTCGAATCAACATAAACCCACTCGAATATAGAGTCTCAAATACTAATTTGATTGTCCAGAGCCCAAGTCTAAGCGAACTCCCGTTCGTCTTCGCCACAAGATCGAAAAGGCTTCCGCCGCAAAGCAAAAGAAGGAGCGCAAGTTGGCAAAGAAGAACCCGGAATGGCGATCAAAGTTAAAGAAGGACCCCGGTATCCCCAACCTGTTCCCCTACAAGGAGAAGCTGCTCCAGGAGATTGAAGAGAACCGTCTAAAGAAGGCCGAGGAGGCGCAAAGAAGAAAGGAGCTGGCCAAGGCTGCAAAGACGGGCGCCAAGGACGAGGCGGCCATGACCGATGTCCAGGTCGACGTTGGCGACGAGATGGAGGAGGACGGCATGGACGAGGATATCGACGAGTCAAACCCCATGGCTGCGCTTATCGCGAGCGCCCGCGCTGCTGCTGCTACCTATGATCGACAACTCGCTGACGACGATGATATGGACGAGGACGACGATACCGACGGCTCCGACAACGACCGTGGCCCTGAGATGTCCATTGGCCAGGCCTCATCGAGAAAGACCTATGACAGAGTCTTCAAGCAAGTCGTTGAGCAGGCCGATGTTGTTCTTTATGTCCTCGATGCTCGCGATCCCGAGGGCACCCGCTCTCGCGAGGTTGAGCGCCAGATTATGGCTGCCGCATCTGGCGGCAAGCGACTGATCCTTGTCATTAACAAGGTTGATCTCATCCCTCCCAAGGTTCTACGAGACTGGCTTATCTACCTGCGACGGTACTTCCCTACTCTGCCTCTCCGAGCCTCTGGCGCTGCTCCCAACGCCCACACCTTTAACCACCGCGATCTGACCGTCCAGAGCACCTCTGCCACGCTCTTCAAGGCCCTCAAGAGCTTTGCCGCCAGCCGACAACTCAAGCGCGCCGTCTCTGTTGGTGTTATCGGTTATCCTAACGTCGGCAAGAGCTCTGTTATCAACGCTCTTCTTTCAAGGATGAGCGGTAAGGGTGGCAGCTCTTCCAAGGCTTGCCCTGCTGGTGCCGAGGCTGGTGTTACCACAAGTATTCGCTCTGTCAAGATCGACAGCAAGCTTACTCTTCTCGACTCCCCCGGTGTTGTTTTCCCTTCATCGTCTTCCACCCAATCTGCTGGTCTCGTTTCTCTCAAGAACGCCACTGAGGCACATGCTCACTTGGTTCTCCTCAACGCTGTCCCCCCCAAGCAGATCGACGATCCTATGCCCGCCGTAACTCTTCTCCTGAAGCGTCTGTCAGCTTCTCCCGATCTTATGCAGAAGCTCACAAGCGTCTACGATATTCCTGCCCTCCTCCCTGATCGTGCCGATGGTGATATCACCACCGACTTCCTCGTTCAAGTCGCCCGCAAGAGAGGCCGTCTTGGTCGTGGCGGTATTCCTAACCTCTCTGCTGCTGCTATGACAGTCGTCACTGACTGGCGAGACGGCCGCATCCAGGGATGGGTTGAGCCTCCTGTTCTAGCTGTCGAGTCGACAACTACCGCCTCCAAGTCGGCCATCAAGAACGCTGGCGAGGACGAGGTTGCTGCTGACCAGAAGCAGATCGTGACCGAATGGGCTGCCGAGTTCAAGCTCGAGGGCCTATGGGGTGACGATGAGGGCAGTGCCGAAGCCGCCGATGCTATGGAGCAGTAAAGAAAAGTGTTTCAGCGGTTTTGTTCAGCAGAATGACGGAAGGGTTAACATGAGTTCTTCACTGGAAAGTTTGGCGTTTCAAGGATCCGGTAGAACGGTTTGTATCCGTGCATATACATTCGTAAAAAAACAATTTGTCTTCCCAAAACTCCTACATGGTTTACCAAGTGACTCGTAGATTATGCATGATGCCGTGTACCTCCCAACACAACCCAGCTTTTGTTCGCCTATATCTATGCTTCGATCAATTCCATCTTGACACCGCGTTTGCCTGTCATTTCATCCTTCTCGTCACGGACTCTAACCCTGACTTTTTGGAAGAGCTCTACCTTGATCTCGCGGCTTCCCTTGGTCGTAAGCGTGTATGTCTCTGCGTCATACTCAGCCTCGGGCTCAGGCTCTGCAAGGTCTCGAAGGCGGATCAGGCCCTCTGTACCAAAGCGTGGAACAAGAACGACGAAGCCGTTGCTGAAAATCTTCATCACGAACGCGTCTTCCTCAGCAACCTTGCCCTTCAGGGCTTGGCCGACATAGTAGGCGATGCTGGCACGACCAGCCATCTGAGCATTGCGGTGGCGCACGTTGATGTTCTTACAGACAGCCTCAAGGCGACCCCGGCTGCGGACGTTGGGGTGTATGGCCTCATAGTCGATGGCAGCAGCGAGCTGTCTATGGGCAAGAAGATCGGCGTAACGTCGAATGGGAGAGGTGAAATGAGTATAGATCTCTGAAGCAAGACCGTAATGGCGGAATTCAGGATAGGCTTGTGTTCCAGAGCAGAAATACTCTGCACTCATCATGCAGCGAGTAGCCATGATACGCACAAGGGTGTTGAAGAATGGCTCCTTGGGGTCCACGCACTGATCCAGAGAATCGGCAAGGGCCTTGCTGGAGTCGGTCCGCAACTCCATGCCACGCTTGGTGCGGAGTTGGTTTGATAGTTCGTCAAAGTTTGTCTTGGGGGGAGCCGCGTGACGTCGGAGAATGGCGGTTTGAGGAAATGCTTCATAAATCTTGGCTGCAACGCTAACGTTGGCAAACAACATGAACTCTTCGACGAGAGAGTTTGTATCGAGAAGCTGCTTTGTCTTGACATCAATAGGGTCAGACGTCTCAGATTCAGTTTGCACCTTGACTTCTGGGGAAGAGAGGCTCAGGGCACCAGCATCCATTCGCTTCTTCTTTAATTTCTTGGACAACATGAGAAGCATGCGCATTCCCTTGGTAAGATCATCTTGCTGAGACTCATCGTCAATTCGCAACTGGGCCTGTTCGTAGCTGAACGCTTCTCGAGATTTGATGACAGACTTGGTGAAGCGAACGTTGACGATGTCAGCATTGTCGTTCAGCTCCCAGAGCACCGAGAATGCAAATCGCTCAACGTAAGGCTTGAGCGAGCAAAGATCCGTACCGAGAAGAGGAGGCAGCATATCGATACGCTTGTCGACGAGATAGACTGTGGTACCCCGGATGCTGGCTTCAGTATCCATGGCGTTGGCAGGCTTGACAAAGTTGGACACGTCGGCGATGTGAACACCAACTTCATAGTTCCCATTAGGGAGCTGTTTGGCATGGAGAGCATCATCGATATCCTGGCACCCAACAGGGTCAATACTGCAGATGAGAAGACCTCGGAGATCCTCTCTCTGCCTCCAACCAGGATCTTCCATGCTCGTCGGCACTCTCCAGTCGTGTCCCTCTCTGGGAAGGCAGTCTAATACGGTCTTGGGAAAAGGCCGATATTGAACATCCCACTCCAGCAACAGAGCTTCAGTCTCGGCCGACTTGGTCTCCAGCTCACCCAAAGATCGCACAAAATGTCCGACAGGATGTCTTGAGTCACGCTCCCAGGCATCAATAGTTACCAACAGGCGCTTGCCAAGAAGGTCAGCAACCTGTCGTGTACGAAGGCGGATTTTGGGAATCTTCTTGTCCATTGGGATGAGGAAAACGCTATCCTGCTTGCGACCTTGGCTGGAACCCTTACTGGCTGACGATGGGTCGATATGACCAACATACTGACGCCAATTACGCTTGATAACACCCACAACCTTGGCCGTAGGCTGTGGCTTGCTCTCCGATGCACTCTTCTGAGTCTTCTTGACCTGCTCTTGCAAGGCCTTTCGCTCCTTTTCAGATACGAGATCCTGGCTCTCTTCCACATCTGCATTCTCGTTCTTGGTGATGGCGTCCTCCTCAATGATCTTTGTCGAAGGTTCTTTCCACTGATCTTGGGGAAGAACTTCAACAACCACAACATCACCATCAACGGCTCGGTTGATGTTTTCGCGACCCAATACGAGAAGAGGTTTGGGGAACGCCGGTACTTTGATTGAACCCTCGAGGTAGTTATACGGCGACACGTTGAAGATTCCTTGATGCATCAACCCAGCCTTGACTCCGGTCATCATCCTTGATAGAGTAAAGTATTCAGGGTACAGCATCTGACCCTGCTTCTTAAAAGACTCTTGGTTTTGAGCTTCTGCGACCATATCAAGTAGTCTCTCGCCATCTTCGAGGCCGCTCACATAGTCCCGGAGAGAAGATGCGTGAAGCCCCTCTTCTTTGGCCTTGCGAAGGTTCTCTCGATCATCGCTAAGCATCACTACTGCTGGCAGCTTTTTCGCCTTTGTCCTGGCAAGATGCTCGCCGTACCACTTGACGGCTAACCGCACAGCTCTGTCATTTCTGTCGTTCACAGTCTCATTTGCCTGACGGTGGACGAATGTCTCGAGCCTAAAGTCGTTAAAAAAGACGTAAAATCTCTTATCCTCGCTCTTTGTGAGCCCCACTAGACGGTTGTAGAGTGGTAATGACCGATTTCGCAGCTCCTCCAGTACTGTTTGCAGGATGATAACATCGTAGAAAGCTGAGCTCTGCTCGAAAAGGTCCATTGCGTTGAGCAACGCGTTAGTATCAGGCACCAGGTAATGGCCCTGGGGGAAAGTCTCGGTGCCTGCTGGCTTGTCCGAGAGCACAAAAGGCTGAGCTGCAATACTCATTAATAGACTGAACGAGTCAGGCGAAAGAAATAGTCTCACCTTGCTGAGCGGCATTTCTAGGGGCATCCTGAAGACAAGCTTTGCAGAGTTTGGAAGAGCAGGGGATGTCAGTTCGTAAGTAGACTTCTCTCACGATTTTCTGCACCTTGCCACTCCGGGTTGATCGCACGTAGACCTTGCTCGAGATGTTTGAGGCCAGAGAATCTGTCTCGGTAGATCTTTTCAAGCTCGCCATCTTTGACAGGCTGCTTTTCTCGCGACGTGGTAAAGTTCAGAGCAGATAATAATGATGAAAAGACTGTTGATCGCAAAGCGTTCGAGTAGGCGATAGTGGGGCGCTTATCGATAAGTCAGCAATTGTTCATGTTCTTCGAGGTCCTGCGAACGAGCAAGAACCTTGATAGTAGTTTTGAGGGCTATTACCTCCTGAATAGATAGAACAAAGGAATAGCGAGTCTCTCTCCGTATGGGCTGTAAAGCAGCTGATAATTCCCATTACTTCTTTCCCTTTCTTGGAAATCTATGTTTAGCAGATCCTTATCACATGACGATAAAGTCACGTGCTCTGAACTTCACTTCACTTCACCTTCCTCTCAGATCTTCTATCTACAGGACAAAATTCGATGCCCTGAGCACCAGGAGCTTGAAATTGAAACAACAACAGATTATGTTTAAGCTATTAGAGAGAACATGCGTTGTCCCGGAAGCATGCTGTCAAGCTGCCGCTGCGTTCTCCATCTGCTAAATACACATGACTTACACATCCGATCCGACAGTCGCATGCTATTCTAATGCACAGAATCCTCAGCATCTCTCCATATCGTCGAATATCTGATTGGAACTCCTTTTCATCAATGGAGAAAAGAGGAATCATTGGACCTTGCCTTAGTTGCACTCAGAGCCGCCAGTCCAGAGCCTGCGAGGTCTAGTCAACGAGACCGCAAATTAGATGATAGCTTTCAACATCTTGTATGAACCAATCATAAAAGCCTTATTGCGGTCATGTGGCAAAGGGACAGATTCACAGTCTCAAATCCATACACAAGGTTGTGTTATCCTACCCGCCCTCTAGGTTGCGCTAAGTTCATCTTCTCCAACACGGGCTCAGAGACGTGTCTTTCCTCAAAGCCCGTTACATGATAAGGCATGATACACAGTATTAACTGTCTAGCAGAGTCTCGGTAGGTGGGACACTGTTAGCAGCTACGAGCACTGCATCTGGCCAAGTCCTACTATCACCATGGAGATGAGCCAGGAAGCGTTTTGCTGTTACAAGGAAAAAGTTTGGCCATGAAGTGCTATAATACCTTAGGGGGTCTGTTTATCGCTGTGTGCGGTGTCAAGGCTCGCACTTTTTACCCTCTCACGAACGTCGGATCCCGAGTCGTATTAGCAAGAGCTTACCAGGAAGATGGTCAAATGCTCACCCGGCTCGAAAATATACAGCTTCTATATCCTAGGGGTCTCACCAACACCTAAGAAGTTTGGAAAATACCCTCGGATTAGTTTTGCAGTCCGACATACGCTGTGCCGTGAAGGTCGCAATGCATGCGCTTCAGGGTCTGAGCATACTGCAAAGCAGAAGAAACCACCAGCCTCATTCTCAGACCTAGTACCTTAAAGAAAGCAGTCCTTTCGGCGCTTCCGTCTCCTGTACATCTATCGAGTTCAATCTCACAGTTCAATACCGGGAGGATTCTCCGCTGATAATGCACCGGCTGCTTCGGGGGCCAGAGCCGACAGATTTGCCTGATGTGACTTGAAATCAATGTTACAACGATGGACAGATTTGACAGTCAGCCTCAATATGCAGATAGCGTCCTGAACCAATGGCAATCTCGCTATGCGCTGTCATGAGAAGCATTGATACGGAAAGGGATCGACTTGGCAAAGTCTCTTCAGGCTCCGAGGGTTCACAAGGATACCGCAGGGCAGTAGAACTTCCCGATAGATGTGCTTCCCTTGTCCTCATTTTATTCTTCCCGCAGGCCTTGGGCATTGAGTCACACATGATCATGTTGAGTTGGCTTCTGCCCGATCATTGGCCCTGGCCATCTGCAACATCATTCAAACATCCTATCTACAATATACAATAAAATTTGACGAGCACAAAACTATTGCTCGGTTCGTTCCAACCTCTACTCCACTGTTTCGCCCGATGGAGGCAAGTTACTGTGTTTGCAAGGTATACTGTGGCTGGCGATATGAAGCCTTTGCGAAGGATGAGAGGGATATCACAACGATAGTGGCAAATTCTAATATTAGCGAAGTTGTCGAGAACGATAGCCTACAGGGCAACAGTGACCATTGGGGGCTTACTGCAGTCGCGACATTGCTGTCATCAATATCCCTGTAGCCTATTGCTATGACTGAGGCTGCGATTGTTGATATCGTATCAAAATTTCAAACATATATTGGCAAACCAAGCAACTCACACCGGTAGTGCTTTCACAACATCCAAGAATGGGATGGGCATTTATGACAACATATTGATACGACCGTTCTTCACCTTCAGTCTGCCTGACGGGGACAGATGCAACCAACCGAAGTATTTCTGCCAACTGCAGGGCTTTGGTTGTTGCATATTGATGGGTCTTGTCAGACCCGAAGGCTATTCGGATCTATTGTCAGTCCTTTCAGATATTTGTGAATTACTCGATTCTTCAACCAGTTTACACGAGCGTTGTGTTTAGCATTTCCAGACGTGGCTGCGGGCCGGTGAGCAGAACCCTAGGACAGCGCGTCGATCCATGTGATGGGCGAAGGGGTAGCAGCAGGCTGCTGTATTAGGAAATGCATGACGCCGGGTACTGTTAGGCCCGGGGGTTTGCTCGAGTCTGAGAATGCGGCGCGCGTCGGAGAAGAGCTCACGGGGTCGCGTTTAGCGTGCAATAAGAGCTCGTAAGAAACAAGAGGATGTATGTCCCAAAGAGACTTTGCATTCGAGCATGAGCAGAATATAATCTCCTCCTGGTTGCGAAAGGCTCAACGTCAATACATGGTGGGCAACTTATACAAAGCATGTCGCTTTGCTTTCATGCCACATGTATCTCAAGAGCATGGCGCGCGTCGTAGAAAAGGAAGCCCACGGTACACCCGTTGAACGTTTCGATGGTAAGGACTTACCTGGTGAACAGGAACTATCGTTCTGCCACTGGATGGAATCAGGCATCGGTGGTAACGAATGGGAAATGATTCATATCGGATTGCTGCACTTTGAACCATCTGAAGGACAAGCATATCATAAAAAGAACAGGGGCCTGGGTGTGAGGCTATTGGAATGAGGGCCGAGACAAACGCCTCTTGTTGGTAGCCAAGAATCGGCCGCACGGACTGATGTGATTGGTGTCGTACTCGCAAGTCAGCCAGAAGACGAAGTTTCCAGCTGGTCAGGCGTCACAAGACAGAGAGCCGAGGGCAGATTAGCAAGGATGATACATCAGCGTGATGCAATGCGGACCCGGATTTATGGAGAAGGCTGTTGACTCAGGTATTGTCAGCGGGCTAAAGAGACAATGGCGACTCAGTTATTCAAAGAATCGAGAAACCGCGCAAGGTGAAGGAGATGGCAGCCAGCCAAACAAAACGGGAGGTTAAATTATACCTTTGGGACGCGAGACCAGGATCTGGAGAGGGGAAACTCAGCCACTTGACGGTGATTTTCCACAAGAGATTAAGCCGAGGCGAAGAGACTGGGGATCCGGCGCCGGCAAGGTTTCACGTGCGGGCCGGCCGGGAAAGCAACCTCATACGACGTTTGCCAGTGATCTACAAGCGAGATTTTTTACGTTACGGTTTAAGGCAGGTACTGAAGTTGAAGGTCCATGTTTAGGGCGCCTTTGGCTTGATGTGTTTGGGCACATCTCAACGACGGCTGAGTGATGGGCGAACCATGACGACGCAACAGAGACTAATTAAATTTCGCTAGAGATTCGTGCCACAGTATGAAAAAAGCATGAGGATGAGGCTCAAAGATACCAACGGCTGAACGGTTTCATAGATGACAGGTTGTTGGAGCATGGAATAAAAGCCGCGGCGGGCCAAGTCAAACATAGGCGAGGTGGATCAGTTTGGTGATCAATATCGGTAGCCCCCGCTCATCAATAATGAATGGGAACTGTGGCTTGTTAGTTCGCAGGCGTGCAACCCGTCTGTGGATATGAGCTGAGCATCACGAGGGAACGCGGGGCACAGATATCTCTCCCATTCCCAGAAGGTGAAGGGCCATGCTTCTCGCGTATCTCGTCTACGACCTTAGGTCAATCCATGGGCCATGGCGGAGACAGCAGCCTCTGGGGTCCAGGTTGGGGTCACGGTGGATGGAAGATCCTGGATCTGTAGAAGCTTTGGGAGCACTCGCATTGCTAACATAGGTAGCGGGTCCCCCTGCTTGGTACTATGCAGAGATGCAGCCTCTCGCTAGCCATGGCATTTCTCCATGATCGTACAATGTCCATGAAGGGAGGAGAGCCACATAGCGGGAACTGTGTGCGTGCGGGGACGGATGGATGGTGAACGAGGATCGTGGGTTGGGCTGGGCTGGTTAGGCTGGGCTGGGCTCATGAATTGGTGTGGTCTGGGGTCTTGGGGCGATCGTTCCCGCACCTCCCTCCCTCTGGCATAGTTTCCCGGGGCTCCATCTGACTGTTAACTATCCGGACCTAGGAATGCATTTCTTAGCAGTCTGCTGGGTGGTGAGTTCTTATAGTATCTTAAACACATTTACGAACTCTTGGGACGCTCTGCAGAGCGCCTTATCAAGCAGAGCAGGTTACATCAGAGGCATGGCAGGGACAAGGGAGTTGAGTGGACAACAGTGGAACGGATCATGATTCTGGGGTCGCGATTGATCGACTCGGTTGGCGTTCCAGACACCTGGAGCCTTTTGCAACGGTACGTTGGAGACTTGCAACGTTATTGCATAGAGGTGGGTTCCATCTAAATGGCTGGCTGAGAATTGGTGTCTTGATCACTTCACGGTGTTTTTTCAATCCTTGCTGGAGCTTTTCGAGGTGTGTAAGGAACCTCGGCTCGTTTGATTCATTATGAAATACCGTCGAGGGAGATCGTGTTCCGGATCTTGAGTGCACTATTACATCATCAGGCATGACTCGACGGGCTATTACTGAACTTGCTCAGGTTCCTCCAATGCTGTGCAGCTTTCGCGAATTTATCGTTGAGTTACTGTCAAGCTGGGCCGTATTCTTGACCAGCTGTCGAGGAACAGAGTGCAAGGCTAGAGTGTTCTAACGATGAGCGAACGAGGGATGCAACATGAGTGCGACTTTATGACGTCCCTTCGTTTCTCACGAAGGTAGGAAGGAACAAGATTCACGTCTCGAATGACGAGAATGAAGGCGGCAGTTAGCCTAATGGATTTTTCTTACATGATGCTAAGGCGAGACCATCTCGCGGAAGAGACGCGATGTGGGTCAAACAAGGTAATAAATGCACACGATATGAGACAAGATATCACGGGCCCAAAAGGTGAGACACAGGAAGCAAGACGACATCAAAGTCTTTCTCATCCTGTTTCGACTGGCACCTCGGTGAGCATGTTGATACCGTGTTAAGCCCAGACTGACCGAACTATGGTTCACGACGCAGCTGGTCGGGTGCTGCAATGCTTCAAGATCCTGAATAGGGCTCCCCATGTTGTTTGTCTGGCACCGCAAGAGTTTCTGTGCAGATACAACAACTGGAAGCTCACCTAAGCAAATCGCATATACGGGTATGGAAAGAGAGTTATTATTAACTGTACGATGAGAAATCAAAATGTTGATCAACGTCGGCGGCGCAGCAACGCAACAACGTTTCATGTCATTGAAGGCAGAACTGCTAGCCATGTAATGGCATCTGCATGCAGTTAGCATCGTGACGGCGCCCACAGGACAAGCGACAGGCAGACATTGGAGGCTAGGGAGACAAAGGGCGCTTGCGTGCATGGAGCATGGAGCATGGAGTGAGCGGCATACCCACACACCCGTCACAGGGAATGGGACCACACAGCGCACGGTGCGACAATCAGACCCAGTATAGCGGATCAGAGGCTGGCGAGGATCTCCATATCCATATCCAACCGTCTATCTCGAGACTCGAGTCTTCTGAGACCAACTAACTTAGTACTGAGCAAACTGATGGATCACTGATGCTATGCCGAAGTCTTCGACCAACTATTATCTTGGCCAGGAGAACGAAGCTAATCAGTTTGATTTACCTCTGTGCAGACTTGGGTTAATGTCAGAAAAACACACAGACATGCGGATATTTGGCCTTATCCCATTCGAGAGTCTAGGTCCATCTCAAAGCTAGGAACCTGCCTAGTGCATGGATCTGTCACAAAGGAATATGCCAAAAGACCGCAACTCGGCTTTCATTGTCAGGTGCAGAATCAAGTCCTGGCCCGGGGATTTTGAGGAAACAATAACCTATGATAGAGGAAGCATGTGCCGGCTGAAGCAGATCAAAGCATCAGAACTTCATCAATATCAAGCTGCATATGTAGGCATATCCAGCAGACACATTGACGCGTTACGAGATGCTGACAACCGATGACACCCAAGTCGTTTACTTGAGCCTACCAGAACCAGTAGGCTTCAGCCGTTACGGTGTATTCTGAATTGGGTTTTGCTTTCTATCTGCAAGCTCAATAGCAACCTTGCCCAGTGACATCTTGCTACTTGAGAGACTGGCCAGGGAGGCGCTGGGCTATAGCCGAAGCTGAGCTAAAGGTCCCAATGATGCTGATGCTGATGACGCGGGGAAACTGATGTACGTGACTGTGCTAGGAAGTTGAACAGTCTCAGTTTGGTTATCCTGTCAAGCCTGCTCACCATCGACAGTTTCTTATCTCGGAAACACACCTCTTGATATTGCGCTGCTTCTCCCGCCAGAACCGTCTACACCGCATTCTGTCACGTCTTTCGACGATAGTTTCTTTCACCATAATCATTATCTTTGCTACTCAAAGCTCGACTCCGCCTCCGCCTGGTCGTCTCCTCATCCTCTTCCTCACTGTGTCTTGTCTTACTCTTATACATACACACCATTTCCTAACCATAGCCAACCAGGGTTTTTGTTCCCCTGCTCGCTGACCCTTGTTCTTGTCCATGCCTTGGCTTAGCTCTCCACTCACATCCCCCTCCTTCCCCCAGGCTTGCGCCATCTCAACCAACCATTCTTCGTCATCCGTCTCCCTCGATCGCGCCGTCTTTCCAACGGTAAACCCTTTTGCCCTCCACTCCATCTTCTTTGATATCCCAGCAGCCATCTTTGTCCCACTCCCTCTTCGTCGTCCTCGTCCTCCCTCCATCATCCTCCAGTGCTGGTCTGTACCGGAGACGGATGCCATCCGCACCTACAATAAACCATCCATCTGTCTGTTCATCTGTCTATCAAACAATCAACTCGCCCAGACTGGCAATACGGTGATTAAACATCGTCGGCACCATCACCATCTTATCGACCTCTTGTCGCTACACGGCCAGCTGCCTCGTTTCACTCTGCCTTATACAGCATTCCCCTCATCATATCACCCATCACCACCTCGTACAGCATTCTGAAGCACCCGGGAGTGAAGTCCCCTCCCCTCGAGTTGTTCATCCTTAACTTGAATTTGAATCTCAAGGAGCACAGCTCACGCGCGCAACACGCGCAACTTGTACAGCGTCGACAGAGCGCAGCAAGTTGAACTTTGCCCTGTCCGCTATCAAACGTTTTTATCACTCCAGTCGCGATATGTCATATCATTGATTGCGAATCTTGTTTCTGCCTTTGTCGCATTATTAACGCTTCTTACCTAACACGCGCCAGTCGTCTATTCATTCATTCATTCATTCTCTTTGAAAAGCGCACGCATTTCAAAGCGCAGCGATCACATCGCATCGCATCGCATTGACATTGGATTTGAACCACACTCGACTCGGGTCGATATTTGATACAACCCATGCGCTAGACGATCTCCGCTTTGAACGCTTCAGACTCGTTTCTTCTCCACATCCACGCGCGCCTCCTCTGTCGCATTATCTCATACTACCTTACGCTACCTACGCTACAGTATCACTGGCGCGCAATCACCCGTGTTAGAGACCCTCATTAAGAGTCACTCACCGTTGCTTACACCCCCCGCTGCGCCGCCGCCTCCTGCTCCTCCACTTCCTCCGGCTTGAGCCTCCAAGGATTTGGTTCTGGTTTTTGATTCTGATTCTGACTCTTGGGTCTTGGTCTTGATATCCCCGGTCCTTTTTTTGTGGATTCTTTCTACTGGAGCCATTTCAGGGTTTATTGATTGGTCCCTTCCTGCTCGGGCATGCTCCTGCCTCCCAAGAGTGGTTTTTCTTACCTTAGCTTCCTGGTCTCAAATCGCCACTGCCTTTACTGCAAGTGCGACTGATTCCCAGATTTCACTGCAGCTGCTACCTTAGCTGCTCACACTACTACTGCACCTTCCCTCCCACCCCATTAAGATTCAGCGCGCAGTCCCGTCCCCCTCCTCCACCTGCCACCATCCCATCGTTCATCATTAACCCATTGCCATCCATCCATCCATCCATCCACCATCGGCTTTCCGCCATCACACACGCACGCACACACGCATACACCCGCTCCATCGCATCGTCCAACCATCCTGTTGACAATCTATCAATCACTTTGTTTGACGCGAATCTTGGAATCTTCAGAGCTCTGTTGATATTCTTGTTACGCGATCGTCCGTTGGTTTTACTTGCGCGCCATACACTGGCTGATCTGATCATTGAGATTCATTCGTGAGCCTCTTTGACGTCGTTGTCGCATTTGTCGCACAACGCGATTCCGCGTCTATACTTCATATCACTCTATCACCAGACAAAGGTAAATCCAGCCCAAGTTTTGATTCTGCGTTTATCTTCCCCTTCTTGCTTTCTACGTCTTGTTTCGTCTCCTTCTGTCTTGTTTGTCTTTTTTTGCTTCTTCACACACCTGTCCCGCTGCTGCCGCGGCCAGCGTCTGGATTACTACGATCTTGTCTCGGTTTGGCTCAACTTCCGGCTGGAGTCTATGCCCCGGCCTGCGCTTGACTCTCCCTTCCGAGCCAAGGTCTGGCTGGCCAAATCGCACATCACAAGGCCAGGCAGGTTTTCCACTTTAAGCTCGCCATATATCTACAATTCGCCATTCACGCTCAACGACGCGCCTCCTTCTGGCTGCCAACCACGTGCGACTGGCGTTGCCTCCTTTCTGCATCTTCTCCAACCCGTCAGCTCGTCAGTCCAAACATCTCTGGACACGTCGCCATCGCTTTCCCGTGGTCGCAACTTCACCCATCCCCCGCTGGCTCGGTAGCTCTGTGATGTACTCCGCTCAGCAAACCAGCGCTGATAATGCGACAATCAATCCAGCTGCGCTCAGCTCACCTGGTAAGTTTAATAACTCTATTTCTTTCTTTTCGTAATCGCATGGCCTCCACAAACCTTCCTCCACTCTTGTATCATGCCATACATACATACAAGTGATAATATCACTTGCGCTCAAACTCCATGATGAATCCATTTGCCCCGCACTACAACTTTCGTGCCCTGCGACAGGGTATTCAAGCGTGAAATAGGTTGCGCCACCCGTCACCACCGTCCGTTAATTCAATTCAAGGTTCAACATGCTAATCAGCCTTCTCTAGTCATAGGTCTGACGCAACAACCCCAGCGCACACTCAAGCGCAGTCATTCTCCTGGAGTTTACGACGCGCCGCAGCTTGGCGATGACGGTATGTCGGCGATTAGTACTCCGCCGCTACTTTACTCACTTCGGCACCCGACTACCTTGCGCCAGACCGGGCGATCAATTGCGATTTCTTTTTTAACTGCTATTATTGTTCATATGCTTTACGTCGTATTTCGTTGCAGTACTTGCGGGCTCAAAAATGCAACTGGTGAGAGAACGTGCTGACCAATCTTGCAACCTGCAGGTGATACGAAACCACTTCGAAAGAAGGCAAGACCGATGAATAAACGATCAACAGGGAGCATTTCCGAGGCTCCCGGGCAGGCCGCAGGCTCGACCCTTCCTCAGACTATTCCTCCACCGCAGACTCCCCAGTCTCAAGGCTCAGCGCTGCCACAAACGAGCCCCGTCTACACGCCGCAGACACAGATGCCCCCAAAGACCACTCCGACAAAGTCAACACTGAAGGCTCTGCCCACTGTGCGAGACCACACGACCGACCAGCTCAACCCGACTGGAGATGAGTATATACCCCGCGAAATCGATGAGTTCGGAGAGAAGAAAGTCCAGCTCAACGGCACGCTCAACGGAGGACGTGAATACAAGTGCCGAACATTCTTGGTCCCTAACCGCGGGGATAAATTGTTCATGTTGGCTACCGAATGTGCTAGGGTTTTGGGCTACCGTGATTCGTACCTCTTATTCAACAAGAACAGGTCTCTGTACAAGATTATCGCAAGCCAGGCCGAAAAGGATGATTTGGTTGGACAAGAAATCCTTCCCTTCTCGTATCGCTCCAGGCAGATTGCCATCGTCACCGCCAGGTCCATGTTTCGACAGTTTGGAAGCCGTGTGATTGTCAATGGTCGCAGAGTTCGCGATGACTATTGGGAAACCAAGGCCCGGAAACAGGGATTCACTGAGGCTGATCTTGCCGGTGAGAAGCGCCCCGGTGCTACGAAGGCAAGAGAGGCGGCCGAGGCCCAGCAGAACAACGTCTTGTTAGCTGGTCCCCATCCAGAGATTGTGTATAGCAACAACCCAGGACCGTTCCCCGGCCCCCCGCAGCCGCACCTCGTTCAACCAGGTATGATCGGACCACCACCTGGAACCACGACAAGAATGCCCGGATTGACACTAGGATCAGACCTAAGCGACTCCCGGCCGCGCGATTATTCAGGAATTCTCAAAGGCGGACCTCGTCAGGAGATCACCGGCCCTGCTTACCAAGACCAGACCCGTCCTTCGCCCCTCGGGGAGCTCAACGCCCAGGCCCATCATGCCGCAGATTTCAACAGGTCAGTTAATCAGCAGCGGGATATGCGCAACGAATATCTCCAAGGCGTTTGGCGACGCCCACATGAGCAGCCCCCCTCCAATCTGACCCAGCAGCCTGTGGCCTCGGCCGACAGTTCCAACACGGCGACCAGCAGGCCTTCACACTCACCTCACACTACGGCTACGGCCATGTCGCAGCAGCCTGGACTGGTTTCCACTCAGAGCCCTCAAATGATGATGACCACTGCGCCCTACTCCCAGTCAATCAGCGCGCAGAGCAGTCTCAGTCAAGCACCCATGAGAGGTATGGCTCAATCACCCACGCAATCGATCAGACCAACACTTCCCGGTACAGGGGGCTCCATGTCTCAGGGAACGCCTGGTTACAACTACCAATCGGGTCAAATGTGGCCGCAGACTCCGCAGGCGCCCCAGCATAGCTACGGCAGCTACACTGCTCAGTCCCAAGCACCTCACCCGTCGCAGTCGCCTTCGCATCTCCGTCAAGGGAGCTCGGGCCAGATGCAAAGTATGCAGTTCCCCGGCATGACTGGTATGCAGTATGGTGCGGGTCAGAGCATGTATCCTGCAGATCAAACGCCTCGCCAATACATGCCTCAAGGTGGCGCTGGTGGACCATCAGTCTCCCAAGGCTGGTCCGGTCAGCATTCACCTGCCCAGCAGTGGTGGACTCCAGGGCAGCAGCCTCAATAAGTTTGTGAACACCAGCTGGTGATGCGAAATGATGGAATGATATAGCCCACGATCTCACTTGCTTCCGTTGAGAAATCCAATCTGATAGTGTGGTTTGTTTGTGTTTTTTCTTCCACTTGCCCTTTTTATTTCTTTTATTTCTTTCTTGACCTATCTTGTGTTTACATACTTGAGCCAGAAGACGACTATCTTCTTGGTCTGATTTCCTCCCTCCTGGGTCTCCAGGTATGCAGATAAGTGGAGGGGCTATGTGCATCTCGAGGGGCCTTCTGGCTTGAAGAATTGCTAATAGTATTTGGACTGGCTGGGATAGAGGAGTCGGACAGGACAGGGACACATGATTGTTGGTTTTTTATGTTTTCTTCTACTCGTGGGTTTTGATATGAGGTAGTAAGTCTGGTTAGGTACATTCACGGCGGCAACATACCCTGCTGTTGTTTTTTGTTGTTATATGTTTACCAGGCCATTCTGTTGGATGCAGGCATATGGGTTTACTCTGATATTATTTGGGCAGATTATTGGTTTGGTTTGATTTGGTTGTTCTGGTGGTACTACGAATGAGTTTTCCACTGCGACTCGCCTGTGCGTCGTCGCAGGGTACTGTTTGTGTTGGCGAGGCATACATCTATTAGGCTTTCATTTTGATACCACGTCACTCTTCGATTCGTCCTTTTTAAACATTTCTTCTTCCTGGGGTACAACGTACCAGTCGTGAAGCGTGTGTATGCATGTACGACATGTGAGTGTCGCTCGAGAGGGGTGTGATACCGACTGGATGACATACTGGGATTGGATTGTTGATTCACATTTGATATTTCATGTCTATAGTCTTACCTTGACTACTTTGCGGCTTTGCTTGCTGCGGAAATAATGATGATGCTTGATGAGACGTTTAGGGTCTTGATTAATCTTGTTGCTTTGTGATGTTCTTTGCATCGTGGGCTGAGGCTCATGTCAGTCAGTATCGAAGCTGTGCAACAAACCCGGACTCGACGTGCTGTTCGTGTCTGTTTATGTGATATACAAGCCACGACAGCATGTTTTGACCCGGCCCAGCGAATCGGGCAGCCTGGGATGTTGTCGTCCAATATTTAGGTCCTATGTACTACATTTGAAGTGACAGCACGGTAACACCCGCCCGGATGTTTCCGCCGGGACAGTATTCGCAACGGGGCTTATCTTGTGAGAGGGCAAGGAATGTGGAGTGTCTGGAGAGTGTTGACAAGGTGCGTAGTACGACAGTTGAGATTTGGGTTTTAACTGTACAGCAGACTACAGTAGGATTTGTCATACCTACCCAGCCGTGTAGGTACAAGGGAGGCAACTGAAGGAAAGTAAACTAGAATGGCGTGTCAATAAATTGTGTGACAGTGGCACCATGAACACCAGAGTCGTTCATCCAACCCCCAGGCCGAATGGCTAACTACATTTTTCTAATCACTCTCATCCCCATCCAATGCCTCGTCTCTCTCCTCTTTCCCTTCCTTGAGCTCAAGGGCATCCTGGGTATCATCGCCGCTAGCTTCCGCCTCCTCCTCGTCTTCTTCTTCGACTTCGTCGTCCTCTGAATCTTCGGGGATCTCAACCTCATCCTCCGTCACGGCATCCTCCTCCGCCTCTGCGTTTCCAGGCTCTACACGAGGGCGCTTAGTTAGAGGGCCTGTTGAGACAGCTGTCGTGTCTGCGTCGGTCTCCATGTTGGAGGTGTCTGGCATGTCAGTGTCTGGCCCGTCTGACTTCTTGGCGCGGACTTTTTGACGGTAGGATGTGCGCTTTTCAGTCTGGATAGCGTTGAACTCTGTGTAGGGTATTAGCAGTCTTGTCATACGATCTGTCCCATAACGAAAGACATGGCAGGGCATATAAAAAGACATACTGGCAAATTCAGCTTCAAGAGGTTCTTTAAGAAACGCAAACTCGGTCTCCTCAAGGGCCTTGAAGACATCTGCAGGGGAGATTGTCTTTTTGCCTGCATTTACTGTGTTTTCATTGGCGCTAATTCGCAATTAGTGATTTTCTCTTGGGGGAGAAGAAGATTTTACGCACTGAGACGCTAGGTAGTTGATAAACACTGTGGTGCTCTGGCTTAGAGCCATGATGGCATTGGCCTGGATCTGTGTGTTGGGGGGTAGAACACCCTTGGACAGGCGGGTTATTATAGACTTTGGAAGGGTCAAGTCCTATTGTTTGAATTAGTCAGTAAGCCTTGGGTTCTGAGCGTCCCTTATTGATAGGTTTGGACACTCAATGATTGAGAGGTGGGTGGGTTGCTGTTCTTGAACCTACCTCGATGGTGATGTGCTCCTTATGCTCTTTATCCTTGTCCTTGTCCTTGTCCTTCTTGTCTCCATTCTGGGTCATAGAAAAATCCGCTTCAGCTTCCGTAGCAGCAGTCTCACTGGCAGCTGGGGGTGCTGGTGCTGGTGCTGGTGCTGGTGCAGGTACTTGTGTGGCCATGGAATCGTTGTCATGTGTCGGAGCGGGTGCTGGACTTTGCTCCGAGGGTGACACATCATCCATCGGGACAAATCGTGCAGTTGAAGTGTCGCTTTTTCGCGAGCTAGACTTGCGAGGTGGCATTGTGAATGGTGGTGAGAATAGTATGTTGATGCTGGGAAGAGATGCTTTAGATGTGGCTGTGTAGATCTTGCTACCTATACAGCTGAGATGAGGCAAATGAATACTTTGATCGAACAGCAATGTTATCTCCTTATTGTATTTGATGAGTATCAGAGAGGGCACCTCTGATATGGCGACCACTTGGTCACTCTCTTCTCAACCCCTTTCTGGTGATGATCTCAAGTCGGATATTGGAGAGCAAGGAATTTCGAGATTAGTATTGGTCCCTATTTTGTTGGTCGAGATTCATTTACGCAGTAAGAACTCAATCTCGATGCTTGCGGACGCTGTAGATTCTGACCAAGATAATTCGTTGTTGGCTTGAAATTTAGTGAGAACGCAAGTGAACTTGGACTGAGGTTGAGTGCAAGTTTAGTGAACGCGCCAAATGAGATCGAGACGGGATGTGGCTGGACGCGATGCCCCGCTGTGAGTGGCTAGGGACGCGTTAAGTGGTTTCTCAGTGGAACAAGGCTACCTCAGGAACAGAGTGCGATTATACAAAGGAAAGCCAAAGGCATATCAATTAAACTTCATAAAGACGTTTTAGAACGTGACTGGTACAAGGTTAACTATGTCGATCTAAAGTTTAATCTTGTTCATCTTAATTGCGTCAGTGATACTACTTCGTCTATCAGTCCGATGCGCCCAAGATTCAAGCAAGGGTTTAGGAGAAGCATGGAGGGAGGGCTTGTTGTCAATCTGTTTGAATTGGAGTGCATATCTATATATATAGCTTTCGTGTAGGTGTTTGGCACATGATTGATAGTGCCAAGGACGCATTGGTCTGTCCAGCTCCTTATCTTAATAGGAGAACTCTCGTCGCCAGGCTCGAGTCAGCCGTGGATATCATCTGCATCGCATGAAACGGACCGTCTCGTATCCGTTCATATCACTTGCTCGCTTGGTCATGATAACATAAAAAGAAAAAATAAAGGAAAGTCTGGGGTATATCCGTCATTAAAATGCACACAAATTCCTCCGTGTTCCAGCACCGGGCATAGACGCCAGCGCATAAAACCATGGTCCCCCCAGCATCCAAATGCCAAGGGTAAAATGAGGCGGACTCAACCGGCCTCATAGTTACTGCCTCTTCTAGGAGAGGAGTGAGAAGCGAAGATCGAAAATGACAGTGGGTTCTTGCGTATTCGTGAAGAGAATGTAAGTGGGTGTTTGAGGTCGAGGCTTGGGATAGAGTTGCGTCGAGCGTCATAAAGCCGAATCTCTTGGTCATTAACGAGATGAAGCAATATCTTCAGGTTAATGCCGGGGGCCCATCACGATCGAATTGCCTCCGAGTGACAGCGGCAATGGAATGGCAATGTTTCTATGGACCGGATATAGTCCTTCTAGAAATGGGTCAAAAATGATCTCGGCCCCGCCAATTTTGACTGTGACTGGGGTGTTGATGGGGTTTGACGGGGGTTGAAACAAGCCGTCACGGAAACCGTTTCTTGATACGGCTCGGGATGGTAATCAACGATACAAGGGTATGCATGTCGTATTGTGTTGTGTTGTATTGGTTCTCAGTGACAGTATCGCCAGATTCTTCTGGCTCAGCCGATGGCCCTGCCAATCTCTGATTTGCGAATCAAAGGTCGCGGTGAGAGACCTCCCAGGAAGACTTCGTCGTCGAATGAGAGTCGGTTCATGTTTGACATGGAATGCATTCGCTGGTGCTGTCGTCGAATATCCAATGACCGATTTGCTCTGGGTAGGTATTCGCTGGAACTGCGAGTGCCGAAGAAAGCATCGGGATAGTGACCGTGCCAGGGATCACGGGGCGACACTGCGCTCATGGTGCTGCTGCGACTGCTGCGAGTTCGACTGTGGCGAGCAGAGGGAGGAAGCTTGGCTAATCGTGAAGGCTGACGCTTCACAGGTGGGATGAAGGCATCTTCACCCTGGACAGCCTCATCAGTCAGACCGGGGCGAGAATTGGGAGCACGGGCAACGACTGGGGTTGAAGGGGTATCGATGCTGCGCTTGTGGTGAAGTGAGCGTGGTGAAAGTTCCTCAGAGACTCGGGGATGAGGACGATCGTAGACGATAACACTCGGAGGTTTGCGTATGGAACTAAACGATGTGCTCTTCTGTCTCTGGTGCTGGAGTTGCCGCTCTAGATCATTGGCTTCGTTGTTTGCAGCCTCGATGATGCGTGCCTTTTCTTGGTTCCTGTCCTTCTTCCACGACTCAATTTCCTCGTCGCCGATGGGAGTGATGCCTCTGTTCATAAAGAGAAATCGGCGTTGGCGGCTGCGGCGGTAGAGGAAACATCCGACTGCGGTGATGGCGGTGACGGGAACCACGGTCGCGAGGACAATGATGAGAGCTTGGAGGTGTGAGTCCTTCATGGCTATATCTCCATTCTGTGTCTGTATGTGAAGACGTCAGAGGGAGGTGAAGTGAGGCTGACAAGTATCAGTAAAATCACACCAATGTTGTCCAAAGGTCTGGTGGAAGGAGAGAAGGTGAGCGGATGTTGAGCTTGGAAGATATACGCTTCCGAGCTGAAGCCAACTGGGAGACGGTTAGTTATTGTACTAGATCATTTGTATAAAAGCTGGATGAGATATGAGATGATGGATGGTGTCCATGCATATCAATGCACCGATCACTATATATCATCCATGTAACAGACATAGCACACTCATATATTTAAATGGGCAATGTTAACTAACAATCATCAAGCGACTGCTCGGGATTGAGCTTCGGTGATAATCGGATCCAGTGAAAATTAAATTCACTCGGTTCGATTAAACTCGATTCGACAGTCGGTATAAAGTCAACCTCAAGGTATCGACGTTGGGTGGGACGTCGGTAGAGATGAGGTGAGATGAGAGGAGAGGAGAAGAGTATAGGTGAAGGTATATTGACCAGGAACTCAAAGGCCCTGTATATGGCACAGGCAGGACGAAGGTCAAGAGATCAGAATGTGAGTTGGGGGGCGGTTGAAGCTATATACAGACTGGGGGTTTCAAAGAGTGGGAAAGGGTGTGCAGACTACCTAAAGCATTACGGTAGTAGTGGGAACATTGCAGGCCTAGGATTGTCATGGCCAGCGAGCATGCAACGCCAGATGTTAGTCTTTACTAAGAAAAATGTGCTGTACAGTATGTACCTAGCTAGTCAAGAATAAGAACAAGATATGAGAGACATGCGAGATGGTGAGAGACAGGAGGTGTGAAGCCTCACTCGAGTGGGTGTGGGCTATGGTGGATAGTGAGTGGATAGGGGGTGAGACTAGGCTCTGAGCTGCTGATACATGAAACCCTGGTCTACAAACCACCAAAGAGGTCTGGTCTGCCAAGTATTATCCGTACATTATTTACGATCAAGAGGTCGACTTCTAATTATTACAGCAGAGTTGCATTTCTTTTCGTTAACGTGCAGGGTTGAGAAATGCCCTGCATTGCATTGCATTGTTAAAGTGTCGCAAAGAGACACAAGGCAGCACATTAAAGTGTCAATGTAGGGAGAAACAGGAAACAAGGCCACAGCCAATCTGAATCGCCCTCCAAGTTCGTGCCTGAACGAGTTGAAACTGGAATAATTCCCGCACAACCAATCCAGCTCGACTCGTGCCTTGCGTCGACAATTCTTTTTGTCCCTCATGTGTCAGTTTATCACTGAAGACAAGTGGATACCCCCCTGGTGAGACGGCGCTGGGCACGGTTCAGGACGGTTTAGGGCCACGCAGTTTTTTAGGCCAGGCCCCAGAGGGAACTGACTATTCTAGTTGGAGTCGGTCGTCCGGACCTGAGGGGCAGGAGACAGGGGATATTGATGGACTCTAGCGCCATGGCGTTGATGGATTGGAGGAGCATCATGAACGTGGCACACTCAGGGACGAACAGTCCCTATTCTCTGTGCCTACGATCTACTGGAACAGACAGGGGTGATGAGTGGTGAGTGTGGTGAGTGAGCTCAATTCAGTGATTACTGATTACCACGTATGAGAATGTTGGCCATCTATCAGAACTACAGAACAGTATGTCAACAACCTGAAATACTTTGATGTGCTATCAACGCACCTCAACTCTATACCTACTAAGGTATATCAAGAACTCTCTTACAGGAGAGTCTTGCATAGAACCCTCATAAATTATAATTTGCTTCGTAGAGATAAGAGCGGCAGGAACTGCTGTGCCATGTACTGTATTTGCACATTTCTACGCCAAATCCATTCCTGGCAGTTGCTGTAAATAGTTCCTTCCTTGAAATATCTCGATCTACGAGGCAGTAGCAAGCCGACTCCCAACTTTCCTCACATAATACCGACTTCATGTCTCATCCCTTTTTCCATCATGCTTTACATATTACCAACCTCAGACCTGCATTCAAAACTCACCGTCATCGACATATGCCAGGATCCCCCGGATTTGGAGCCTCACCTCCTCTTCGTTGAACCCCTCACATATCAACCGGCCTCTCTCTTCGTCTAACATCACGGACACAGACTAGTCCGGTCTTGCCAAGGATCTAAGACAAGCATGCAGCTGAGCTGAGCAGAACATGCATCTGCGCCTTTCAGCAAGGGAGATTGACAAAAACCGGTTGCTTCCAGACCTCACCACTCACCAGTCAAGCCCGTCCATAATAGACGCATCCCATCAAAGCACACAAAAAGCAAAGACAATAAACGGCTCGGGCCCCTCTGTTAATTCCTCACCCACGATTCCAGAAATGGACGCTACATCAACGATGGATGGTATGTCACCACTCGCTCTAATCACACAAGGTAATGGTGCGGTCACGCTGGTAGGATGGCATGGGCTGCAAGGGAGCAGATGGCTACTTGCAAGGTTGCCGATGTCCTCGAAAACGCGGCCTCGCCTGACCCGGCTGGAATGTGCTGAGATTAAATCAGGCTCGTTATCTTTCATCTGCCATCATGAAGCCCATGTCTCACTTCGTCACGTCTCGTCTTGCCTGTCGACGATGCGATCTAGAATGGGGACGCGCGATAATCAGGTTATTCACGCTCAATAGCTCCCCATGATCTCCTTCCACGGCCCTCTACGGTCACACTAATATGAGGGATAGCGACTCGGCAAAATAGCTTCACGAATACGTGCGGCCTTATTCCATGTGAACCCGGCAGCAGCTAATGAATTGTTGTGTCCTAGAGAATTATGCCGTTCCTTCCACGAACCATTTTTTTTTTTTGTACCTTGTCAATCATTGTCACCGTACAATGCATTCTTATCATGGCTCATTCGGCATGACAAGTCACCTCAGGTGAACCGAGACAAATCAACCGGGCCGGCGAACTGACACCGTGCCTATCAAAAATCGGACTTGTACGGAACACGAAGTACCCGTGTAAAAATCATAGGGATTTATCACTTATCTGCCTCCCAAAGCCTCTACATGTAAGCAAAACCTGGTTAATGGCGCTGAAACGCCTGCAGCAGACAAGTACTCTTCCTTTGCTCGCGGAGATATCAAGCCATGCGCCTAGATCGTTTTCAAGGGACGGCATTATCTGTTGGCTAGGCACAGAGTCGTCCGCTCGTTAAGCTTAGCATTGCTTATTATGCAGCCTGTCTATTCTTATTCTGCTGTCCGACAATATCTTTACTTTGCCATCGACCTACAAACTATCACTCGATCATCCTCATCAATAATCTATGCTATCTATGGTGAACAGCGTCAAGTCACGATGGAAATACGAGGCCGCTTTTACATTTTGTCATTGCTTCAGTAATCATCCCTTCGATCGAGCTGTCACCGTACAAGATGCCAAATCGGGATGCACGACGACATCCCATCGAACATCCTTGGCCTAGAACTTTAGCCATTGTTACCATCTTGGACGGATATCGACCTGTCCGGCACAAGCTTTCCTGTTTAGGCAGGCTGGCTGGTAAGCCATCGAACAATACACGGGCCTATCATCTTCACCGTTTGGCTGTCAACGTGGGAAGCTTCCAGGCCCCTGTCGAACCCCTTTGCCGCCAGCCCTGGCCCAACCTCTTAAAGTCGTCCATCATAACGTATTGGGCTGAATGCACACAATAGATCTAATCATCTAGTCTAATTAGCATTTAACGGTCAGATCAAACGATTGAAACACGAACTTAATAAGACGGCCTGAGACTTTGAGGCTCAGACTCTTGACCTTTCGACGTTCCGGCCGTCACCGCCTCAAAAGCCAAGTTCTGTCATGTCCGGTTATGGACCACCGCAAGGTATTGCAACAAAACCAAGACGGCACTCAACCTGAGCCATGATAGCAAATCAGTATCTCGTTACGCTCGTCAGAAAGTAACACAAACCAATATAAAGGGAAAAGGCTTTCCGAGCACATAACGACAACCGTTTGTTCGCTTTGAGGCTCTTCCGGAATTTGCGGGTTTTCAAGTCTGTTCCTGTGCCTGACTTTGCTTGTTCCTGGTTCCTGACCGGATCACGCCACTACTGCAGCTGAACAAACAACTTCCAAGATAACTCCACCTTGAACCTGGTCCACCTCCGCTTCTTGTGTCGGCACCATATGCGCTAGCTGGATAGTGAGCATTTTCTTGATACAGACCGCTATATCGCCTCGTACAGCGGGCCCAGTCAATCGAGAATGGCGTTTGGGGTTCACCACTATACTCACTCGGCCGCATTGATACTCCGTGACATATGATTCAGAGCCCCTTTACTTGGCGCAATCCACCTCATTCGTGACAATACAGTTATCTATGTGTCTTACATGCAGAGCATAGACTGAGTATCGCGATCGCGATGGTGATGCATCTGGCATATCTAACAAAGCCAGACAAAAGAAAGGGAAAACGAAACAAACGGCCAGAAGTCCAAGCGTTCGCTTAACCCGAGTGAGCCATGGCCTCCGAGAAGCCAAGCGAAACCATACCGTGATTAACGGGCGGGAAGAGCCTATCAGCGGGACGGCACACAGTCAGATCTTGTGGTTAGTCTCTCTCTCCCTTTCTCTCTGGCCGTGATCCTCTGCGACTAACCCTCTTCTGTCCGGGGCCGGTCTCAGAGGGGGATTCTTCCTTCTAGCGCAACACCTTTTTTGACGAGTCTGACTTATCACCAGGCAATTAATTGATCGGCTTCGCTTTCTCCCGCAACTCAATTTTTCAAGCTCTGGCCAACTGCTCTCCACTCCTCAGAGAGCATCAATTGCACATTGAGTCAGTCAGTTGAAAGCGACGTCAAGCAACCTTGAAGGTGCATCGCACCCAACTGTCGACCAAACATGCATGTCGCTGTTACAGAGTTTGTTGCCTCATGACCTGAGAGGCTGAGCAATGCCACTTGCTGGCCAGTATTGAGATCGGATGCTTGGAGGGGTTATGATGAACCATTATACCTTTAGATCCCTGCCCATGTCCATTTCAAGTGTGGAGAGGACAAACAGGGGTATGCCTGGTTCAGGTCTGAAGGATGTTGGTGAGCTTCTTTCCATTAAAAGCTCCTACAGCATACACCGCTTCTTCAGAAATAGATCTTGAGGCAGGACGAGCCCCAGCTGCTTCAGCGCGTTCGTCAGCTTTACAACAACCTGCGGCCACTAGTTATGTAAAAACGAACAGGCAAGCCTACCGTACTGAGGATTCGATGAGACTACCACTACCGTAACCAACTTTGATAGATATCGGGGCTCCTGCCAAGCCTCTTATCCCACATCCCACGAACCGCTACCACCATGAGTTGGTTCTCTGCTGCCGTCCAGTTGTGCATTGGTCTGTACTGTACGGAGTACAGTGAACCCGTCCAAAAAAAAAAGGTGGTGGGCGACTGAGACCAAGGCCCTCGGTTGGCCAGAAGAGCACACCTCAACTGAAATGGGCTGAAGAGCCAGCCACGCCCAGCCCTTTCTTACCTGCCTGATTGCAGTTCTACTGCAAGGCACGAGCCCTCCTGATCATGGCAAAATCTGTGAGGGGTAGGATGGGCATACCTTCAAGATGGAGGTCCAGGGTCGGCCGCTGGTTGGTCGAATTCGACACCTATTGGTGTTCTCCTCTGTCGCGACTTGGGCGGGGCTGGAAGAATCTCTCAAGACCAAAGTCCGCATCCTCCTTGTCGTGCCATTCGTCGTGGCCCTCTCCTTTAAGATCATGACGACACCATCAAGAAATGACTTGCAGTAGTAGCTCGAGAGCCTCGGGGCAGCAATCCCCCGATCTTCTCTTGCCACTGGTCCACGTGCGGCACGAGGCTGAGCCCGTGACAGGATCGAGCGGGTGAGTTTAATTACCATGTATTACACACGTTCAACATCAAGCAGAATCATTATGAGTGGACAGATGGAGTTGATATCAAAATGCAGGGTTTGCGATTCCCATCATAATATATTGGATGAAACGGTAGACGGGTCATCTCGGTGGCTACTCTCCCCGTCCTTCTTCATGCCGTTGGTACCTGGACGACGACATTAGCATCCTTATTAACTATGCTATATAGAGGCTGCCGTGGTTTATATTGAACTTGAGTTCTCTGCCTGTCCTATCTCACGACATAAAAATAACGCAACAAACCATAACAAAGCGATGGCTGCACTCTCAATTTCATGCTATATAGGTATGTTTGTCCATACATGGGACATGACTGCATCTTCCAGGGTCCTGCAGCTGATGCTACCACACATACATGTCCGTTGATACCAGACAAGGGATATAGCCCACGAGTTCACAGCCGAGAGCACATCAGCGTCATTGCAAACCCACTCAGTGTGTGTGTTTCTCCTCCCCCGCCGTTTCAAACGCCGGGTTGCTCCACCTTGACATTACATCGCGAACGGGTCCAGAGACGAGAGATGGTTCTTGGTCAGGTCGGCTTTTACTAATGTATGTACGGTGATCCTTCGCTTCATCAACCTTCAGACAATCACTGATTTCTAATCTGCCATCGATACAGCAAGTAGGCTTTGCATATTCTCCTCCAATAGCGATCATTCGCTTGTCCATCCCAATGCAATCATCCGCATGCGATGAGACCCTGCGGCTTCTTGACAAAGGGCCTAAGGCATTAGTATTGAACGGAAAACTTGGGAATTATGACCTTGATAAGATAAGCCGATGATCCTATCACTTGATACTCACGGAGGTCTCGGGGTCAATGAGCAACGCACCCAGTGACAGATGGTACTTCGCAAGCCAACAAAGTATCTCAAGTATATGTCTTGCACGCAACGAACACTCCTGTTCTACGAACATGTTTTGATACACACAGGCCATAGCATGAGTCGTGTGCCCAACGTCGCGAGAGCCGCAAGCACGAGTAAGCTGCACATGAAAGAAAGACTACCGGTACAAAAAATAAAGAGACCACTTCAATGCCTGTTCCATGGCTGTGGCTGGTCTTGGCTTTTGCACGGTTGTGAGGCTGCGGCAAGCTAAACTAAGCTGGCAGGGTTCGGCGCAGGCATCATCCCTGCTCAAGATGATGAGTCCGTCCTCAAAGAAAGTGGTCTGTGTTTTCCGGGGCTTATTAGAATTTTGATGCTTCATTAAATCCGTTAAGCAATGGATCATAACGGCTTTCTTTACGATCGTTGAGCTCTTTCGAATATGCACACTCTGCACCGGAGTGGACTGCGTTGGCTTGCGTTTGTTGGCCAGTTCTCCACCAATATTTCGTTCACGGTGGCTAATTCGAGACTTACAACTCTACTGCAGTCAAGAGGTCACGCAAGTACACCAAGAACAGACCGTTCAAGTGTCAACTCCTCCACAATCCTCACAGAACTTTAGATATGTGTCTCTTTTGTGAAAAGGGCCCCGTTTCTCTTTGTCACAGGAAGGGTTGGTTGACTTTGGTCTCCATCTCTACGGCAATACCTATGCACCTAGCTAATGCACTCAAAGCTGACTCGCATTCACGTATCATCCCTCGGTCCAATCCAGCAGAGACACAAAACAAGATACCCACCGTGAAGTTGAGAGTTATGGACCACTGCTTCTTGATCGTTACGGCCCAACTTAACCGAGTCTCTGCTACACAGACTCCTTCTTTTCATACAAGATGATGCGGCTCTTCAACAGCCCAGCAGGAGGCACAAAAGACAGTTCACCAGTTTGTGTGATTAGGTAGGGATCTTTGGACAAATAGCAGCTGCAGAAGCCATGAACAAGCCGTGTGCGGTGCCAGCAGATCGTAGGATGGCACAAACCTTGATCGTCCTGTTATTTCGCATCCCAAGGCCGTGGTCAAGGTTCTTGCTTCCATACGGCAAACATCTTCTAGGGCTGAGGCAGGGTAGAAGGCCTCAAAAATAGGTCACGGCTTGTTAAAGGGAATCTGTTGGTCCATTGCCGTTCCTGAGCCGGTTCCGGTTCCTGGAATACAACCTAGGGTCGCAGAAGTTGGCCGCATGAAACGTGGCATGCGAGTTACTGTGTGGTTGCCACCAAATCATCCTCCTCTTCGTGTTCCGTTTTCTTGCAGTGAATGCCGCTCTTTTATTTTTCTACGACTATTGACAGCCGAGTTTTGCCAGGTCATGCCGTTGCTGACAGCCCGCTATAAGCCCAATACCGCCATGGCCTCATGCGTGTCTGCTTAGTTCTCACCAGTCCTGAGCCTTTGTGTTTCATATTGTTGTTCTTTTTATCGGTTTCCGGTCAGATCCATGCCCGGTTCTCGATTCAGTTACCGTCAAGACCTTCCAGTGGTTAACTTTACCCGAGTTTGGTGTTGGACTTTGACTTGACGCATCCATCACGATCTTAACTGTTTGATATTACAATGCTATCGCCGTGTAGGGCTGTATTTTGCTTCATTCTGCATAAAACAGACCATGCCACTTTGGGGTCACTATATTATATCTTTACTTCCCTCATAAGCCACCAACAATGTACACCACGTACTCTTATTTTTGCTTCGGCTATGGAGCTCAGTCCGTGTATAGGGTAACCAACGCTTGATATCATATCCACAATCTCTAAGAGGATCAGAGTGAAAATGTGTCATGTTACATTGTGTTGCAGTATGTTAGACGCCACTGTATCTGGGATTATTCGAGGGCCGCAATGTTTCGGAGGCGTTAATCTGATTCCTGTTCTAACTCATTGTGCAACTGATCATTGCTTGTTTAGTGATGAATGACTCGTCAAGCCACGCACCAACGGTCTTCCTCCCCTTCCCCAGGTTATTCCCGAGAATAGTTCAAGCCACAAACCTGCAATGCCATGAATAAATGTCGTCAAGCTTTATACTTGTGTTTCAGGAGTCGAGGCTGGACAAAGTAGTAAGAGGCGGTGAGTCCACTTCTTTCCAAGGCATTGATTCATATTCTTTATGTAGGGTAAGATACCTCCAAGGAACAGAGCAATTGTTTTCATGGTCAGCCGAACCATAATGAAGCTCTAGGTGCATTCTGTACATATTGTAACTATCACTTCTCTCTTCAATCTCACCATGTAAAGTGCTTGCTTGATCTAGTATAGTTTGGTTGATGTATTTAAACGGAAAATGAAGATATAAACTCATGGGGTAGATACCCTGCCAAACAACTCAACCATGATATATAAAAAAAAAAAGGAAAAAAAGAACACACATAAGCAACTTGGCTTATCATGCCCATCTAATAGGAGAGCCAGTTAACTTCTATTGAACGACACTTGTCGTCCAATTCCTCACCAAAGGCTGGATAAATCTGGATCCAAGGCAACTTGCCACTCACCTCCCCAGTCTTGATCAGGAGTTCCCCAAGTGTCTCCCGAATCCTGCTTATCGGAGCCTGCAGACCAAGACTTTGGATGAGATGATGCTCCCGAGTAAGATGATGAGCCACGTACTTGCAGCATCGTGCACTCGAACCATGCTTCCTCAGCTCTGAGCAGACGCTCCTGACAGTGCTTAAGCTCTGTATACACACCGAGATCCCTCAGGAAGTCCAAGACATCGTATGTGCACTCGCGAGATACGTCGTCCCGGGAGAGCTTGCCAATGACACGCATGAGCTGTGAAGGTTCCGCGTCTCGTGCCCACTCGAGCATACGACACTGTATCTTAATCCAGGTGACGATCCATTCGGCATAGAGGCTACTGGCTGCGAGCCGAGACTCGACAGTGCCGTGAGTCTCCTTTCCTGTCAAGGGCGGTATCTCTCCCATCAACTGACCTTTCCAGTTGTAACTGTAACATTTCTCCAAAGTGGTATTGTCACACATGAGATGTGCGACCTGATGCACACCCACGTCTCAGGCCAGGAGCTCAGTGACTCCTCTCCAAGCAACCTTTGAGGCTTTCAGTAAGTCATCATAATCGCCACCTTTGTCATGATCCATATCACAAACGGGTGACGGGATGTCCGCTTGCCTTCATACAGCCTTTAGTTTCTTCCATTGATCGTCTAGCAAAGGCACGCCATCAGATGACCTACAAGAAGCGGTTGACTGGGAGGCTGGAGAATCGAGCTATGGAGGCAGATCACGACGGGTACGGTTAGATTCATCATCTAACTGTCTAGCCTTGTCCTCATTGATTAACTCTCTGACGTGGGGCGTATAACGAACTTCTCGCCGAACTCCTTTGGCCTTCCTTGGTCGATCGAAAGGTCTACCGTCTTCGCACTTGTAGTCGGAATCATCACTTTCACACTCAGGATCCAGGAATCTTCCATCGTCTTCCTTCTCGCGGGCTTCGCGAAGAGGTTCGATCAGTGCCACACTAGAAGCAACAGGATCTCCTCCGAGTTTCCTCGCCCGTGCAATATATCGAGATATAAAATTCAGCCCCGTGACTTCTCGCCGTGCCATATCTGCAGTCACGTTGTCACTCAACTCAATACCACTAAAGCCTCGGATAGACTTGGAGTAACGAGCAAAGCTTCGCGCCGGGCAATGGAGAGTAGATAGCACCGGGTTGGATGCCCACTGGAGGGCCGCGTAGTTTCTCGATGCATGCATGTCCATCTGATGGGGCCCATTGCCGACATGAACATGGAAGCCACACGAGGCATTGACCCGAAGACGCAAGCTATTAGTCAAAAGTCTAACAACTACTGACACAAGCCAGTATGCCTCATCGCAAGCATACATCGGTGGGCTTGCTATCTCTACCGCATCCCACGCATAGGCCTCATTCTTCCATTCTGTTCCAGACTCTGACACTGAGGTGTCTGTCGTGACAATCCATGGATATCCCTTCGTTTCAGACTTCTTTGGGACGTAACTCTCTTCTACCGTCCTTGCATAGAAATTATGATCTCGTAGCAATTCTAAAACTGCTGTTACGCCACCAAGGTGGCCCGCGACTGGCGCAAGGCCAGGGATGCTGTCGTCTGCTTTAACTTTCCTTGGATTTAGAGGCACCAGGAATTCTAGCTCAAAACCGAAGCTGGCGCGCGGAGGCCGAGTATACTTGTCGTCGTGCTTATGGTCCGTCTCATTGGTAACGCGAGGCTCCATCTTGACTTTCTGCTCGGAAGCAAGTTGATTCCGAGTATTGGTAGTAATGTTCCGCTTCCCCATGTTGAAATATGGTCCTTATGCTTGAGTGATCAACAGAGAGCCTGCTCTATCGTTCCGGAGTTACCAAAAATGTATAATGCTTCAATCGTCGACTTTCGATACCAGATGCTATGAGCTGTTTGAGATTGTTGGACCCGGAGATGGCATCGACTCTTTATATGTACATGACTTGAGACAGTTCGGTCCCTGTTCGTTAGTTGTTAGCATGCTACCAAGGCGACCTTTTCAAGACATAAAGTTGTCATCTTCGGCAACTCAGAGGGTTAACACACGCTGGGTCGAGAGAACATCACAGCAATTCGGTGTACAATCACACAAAGAATTGGCACAATATCCATAGTCCAAAGGTTTTTCAAAAGGGTGAAGGTCAAGCCATTGTTTCTTTGTCTTCTTCAAAGTGATCGAGTTTTCCTACTCCTTTCGCCTCTTGCTATGAACGTATTGAATTGCAAAGCATAAACAAATAATCGCCACCCTCACCAGTGCATCTCTCCGTCGTCCCCATGAAAGGCGCACAACACCCCCGGTCCTTCAATCCGCCAGTCGGTACGCCGAAGCGTGTCATTACCTCGTCCAAGCTTTAACAAAGCTACATCGTTGGGTCTTAAACTCATCAAAAGGTATCGCATTGCACGTCGAAAAGGTGTATTGTATAATAAAATGGGCAAGAGAAGTGAAGAACGGCGCACGGGATAGGCTCTGACCTGTTACTCATCGGCCAAGGGTGGCACGTGATGGGGAGCCAGGATATTGCCGTAGCACTGCTGAAGCAGCACCTCATGCTTCAACCTCCAACACTTAGATGAGGTAGGCAAGCATGCCGAGAGCGACAGCGGCGGCCGCACCCCTGCCCGCTGGCGCCATGGTAGGGGCAGCGAAACCATCGGATGTCGTCGATGTCACGGACTCGGCAGTGCCAGTAGCTGCCGATGAGGCACGAGTGGCAGATGTAGTAGCAGTGTCGCTAGCGGTGCTGGTAGTATCGTCGTTGTCGTCGCTGACCACGTCCTTAGGGGGGTTCTGCTTGGCGCATTTGTCGTCGATCTTGGAAGTGCATTCCCTCTGACCAGATTGGCTGCCAGTGTTCTGCGAAATGCACTGGCTGAAGAGCTCCTGGCAAATGAAGGTAGGCATGGTCTGGGTGTAGTACTGAAGACCGGGGGTCGAGCTGTTAGAGGAGCAAGTGCATTCCCACTTGAGATCGTTCTTGATGAAGTGTTAGCATCCTTCAAGTTGACGAGAAAGTGATTTGAACAGCACTACATACCTCGGTACATTTATTTTCGTTGGTATCGTCCTTGCAAAGAGCATCACAGGTGTTCTGCTGGGCACCACACCAGGAAGCTGTGAAATGTTAGCACGCCGGTGAACATTTGTGAGTTTTCTATTCTCAGCACGTACATCTGGTAGCGAGATCCACAGTATTGGGGTCAATTGTCATGTCAAGGGAACTCTTGTAGTCCTTGACAGACTGGGCCGAGACGGCCGAGACGGCCATGGCGAGGAGGGCAAAAGATGAACGCATCGTGAATAATGTTTGGGTAGAATGTTTGTGGATCTATTGTGAGACGATTATCGTGATGAAGGCGGTGCAATAAGTGGAACGATGATGAATCGATGCTTTGCGAGAAGTTGATTTTGCAAGTGGAAGAATTGAGGTTGAAATCCTTCTTATGCTTTGGGTTAAGAGGTCTTCTGATGCAAACGGAACGAGGAAGGAAGAGAGGAGAAAGACGAGGCAGAGAGTAGGTTTTAAACGATGGGAAAGAAACAGCAACAGAGTTTGGGCAGGTGCGGATAGTAGCTAACCAGGCTAACTTTCTGTGTCCCTTGGCTTTGGCTTTGTCTGGGCAGGTGCCGTCACTTGCGACTGGCCTCGGTTTGATTACCTTGCTCGCCTTAGACAAGACCGTGCTTCCAGACTCAGTTGGGTAGGTACCTTGGGCCTCTGTAAACACTGGCAACAACACTGAAATCGATGGAACTCGAACTGGAACTCGGCCCCGGCATGAAGTGCCCACAACCCGTCACCCATGAGTATCTCCATCTCGGGCACGTCGATGGGCTATCTGGCCAATAGAATATCCTCCTGGTAGCATCCGCCATTGACTTCGCTGCAAAACTCTCCCCGTCTCTCAACAAGGGAAAAACGCACAGGCACAGCTCGGCTAGAGGTCGCATCGTACCCACACCTTCCCTGTCTTAGCCACTTACCACTCACACCATATTGACCCTAGTCGAGCTTGGCCAGCGCCATTTCCGTTTTAGTCGTGATGGCTACTCAACCACCATGATTTTCCGTCTAGGTGTCAGAGCTTGAGAATTCATGAAGCCGAGCAATGCTGCGCCTTCGCCGCCTCTCATATTGGCGATCGAGATACCATTGTCGTTCATCCTCTCCGGGTAAAAACCCGTCTCGCATGGAGTGACAAGGCCCAGGTAAGCGGCTGGGACCGAACAAATGGGACACAATCAACAATCTATTGTCACTCACTCATGGGTGACCAGGATCTTCTCATGCACGTTGACGGGCACTAGATTGAGCTCTCGATATCGCGCTAGATTCCAGCGGTGTCCGGTTCCAGTCTCGTCATCACTCATCACTCACTCTCAGTCCAACACGTACTGAAAGTCTCCAAGCACAAGGGTTCCCCAGCAACTGCATAGTATACTGGAAAAGTATGGCGGCCTTTAGAATCAACCATCATGAAAAAAAAAAATAGCTTCATAACAATGGATGGTTAGTGAATAGCCTAAAGGCTCGGCGTTTTTTTACGATATGTAGTACTGAATCCAAAGTTTAGGCTTTGTGTTACCGTCAATTCTCATAATTATGAGAGAACTTTGACTTGGTTTCGTCGGTTTTCACTCCTGGTAGACTCGGTTCTCACAGGCGAGCAAAAAGTCCGCCCAGCATATAAAGATTGCAGGCCCATATATGAGACGAGCCAATGATTTCGGACGTTTTGCATCACCATTGTCTCTGATTTCTGGCACGGACCATCTTATTGGTCTACCATATCACCGTATTTCTCCGTGCTCGCAACAGAAACAAACACAGAAGCAGAAGCATGATTGTTTCTTAATACACACTTCAAGATTCTATCGCTGCAACAGCTGCAACTGAGGGGGTTGGCTGGGCAATGTTTACTTGGCGGGAGGCTGGTTTTGCTGCGCGACTAAAAGAAATGGAGACGGATCTGCCCAGACGCGCTATTCCGGAACAAACGGGAAAAGGCAAAGGCAATTTTCATTCTCATGTCACTTGCTCATGGAGAAATAAATTCGCCAAGATGCTACCCTTTCTCCAACGGGGTCACGGCATTTCAGCGCCGATGGTTGTATCAGACACTCGGACCTTTTGTTCATGTTGGGTAGGTTATCTCCATCCACCATGTCTACTTTCATTTACAGCCCTTGCATGCTATTTCTTTAAATTATGATACATGAGTTTCGAAGTGGTTTTGGGAGTCGAATCGCTTTGTCAGTAAAGACTCCTCATGTTTCGTGATATTGATTTTCAGCAGTTTCGAGACTCTTCACATCTGGCAGAGAAATAAAAGGTCCCGTTATTGTTTTTCCCCTCTCGCTTTTCACCGAAGAAGCAGCTCATCAAGCAAAGTGACAAGTGGATGATAAAAGACTTGGTTAGCGCAATTCCTTATCCACCCTTGGTCCGCGTTCCCTTGTCCCTTGTCTCGTCCCATCTAAAGTGCGTCACTCCATTATCCCCGTCACGAACTAATCTGACCATTTTCTCTACCCTGTTCAGGTGTCAACAGGCTGTTTTCTTCTTGCAGTCACTGGCTGTCTGTGTATGGAGTTGATTTGGAGTTAGTTTTATCATGTCCAGGTTGAGGGGCCACGGCCTGAAAACTCCGCATCATTCATTGATTCTCAATTTCCCACGATGAAACCGAGGCCGGCCTTCAAACGAAGTCTTGTTGACAAGCTTGTGTCAGTTTTCGCCAATGAGAAACTTCACTGGCACCCCAGGCACGATCAACTCAGCGCCACGTATCTGTGGCTGCTGTTGTAAGTTGCCCATCAGGGAGGGCATGGCTTATTAGCTTGAGATTCACCTTAGCGGCATAGAAATATTCAGGTCTACGACCCAGAGAGGTTACATGGCTGTGTAGGTATCATTCCCTGCGATTTGAATATTCTGTTGTTGGCTTCCAACTACCATGTTACGGGCGAGAGGAGAGAACATTGAGAGGCTGGATGATTTCAGGATCTTCGAACCCTATCTATGACCATCAATTTAGTGCCGCGGCTAGGAGTGGCTTTCTTTTGCCTTTGCTGTTGGCAGCTCTGTGGTTGACCAGCCTCTCATACTCTTATCACGAGGGCTCTTGTTGCTGGCATTCGCTGAGCTAGGAGGGAGCGCGGAGGTTGCCCAGGCTTGCAGAATTCTGGACTCTTTTAGCGCCCCTGCAGCCACACGCGGATGGCTAACGTTACTAGCCACCTTTTAACTTCTCCTCTCCTCAACTGCTGCCAAGGTAGCCGTTCAGGCGTTGTCATCGAGCTACGCGTACAGTGTATGATAAGAATAGATTTGAGTTGGACTGGCTCTTACGCGGCTAAAACCAATGGCTTCAAGTTTGTTCCAGTTCATGTCTGCCGATATTCCGCAAGAGCAGTACTCCTTTTCTAAGGCACAACATGGTGCCGTTTTTTCCGTCTCCATCAGAGAGTAATCACGGTCTTATATGAGTATCTCGTTGCATTCCCTAGCAGCTCGGCACGATTTTCCGAGTTCCAGGTGGTTTTCTGTCATATCTAAGACAACACATTCATTCGTCATCATGGAATATTCATAAACAACACCAACTTTCGAGTCTTCGGTTTTCATATGGTTCAACTGGGCTCCTTGTCGCCCCTTTTTCTGGAAAACTCGGAGCTCGCCTTGGGCTAGAGGGATGTTCGTTTCTGTTGTTAGATAAATTCCATTGAATCTTTGGGTTTTGATGTCGAAATTGAGTACTGTCATAGTCTATCAGCTGTGTCGTCAATGATACACCTAAGCCCATCGCCCAACTGTTCCTGGTCTAAGAGTGGAACTCTTCCATTGTTCAGCTTGGATGTTTTAAGATTATATAAAATCAAAGGTCAGACAAGGCAGGAGATGGCGTTTCTATCAATCGGAGAGGACATACCGATATCTTACGTTCAGATGGATGCGGGTAGCTGGATCCAGGGTAGTTGACTTCATTAGTACTCCACCAAAATGCGAAGCTCGGAATCAGTGGGGGTGGAGAGCTCCCCGTCAAGTAACACGGTCGGGTCCCTGCATGATGATCTCAGCTCCTGAACTCCATTGGTTAATAGCCCAACCTAACAACTCCAACTTCAACTACCTACCTGGGTACTCACGGCCCTTAGGACCTGTGTCTGCCCGTCAATCAAAAGCTCTCTGCCCTACGATACAGGTTTTATGAGTTATGTTCCGACAAAAATAAGGGCCTTTGTTTCTCTTCCATGCAACTCTCGAATGAAATCTGAAGCCGCACAGCAGCGCTCGATGCACACCAACTGCTGCTGACCCCTCCATTTCCTCTCCTTCCCACAATCAGCCAACTCCATCAGCAGAACCATAAAGACATTGCCTATCATGAATCGCCTACCACGCGAACTAATCGATGCGATACTTCAGCAATGTATTGAATATGGCCCCAAGAATGCAGTCCTCGATCTTCGGCTCGTTTGCCGCGTCTTTGACCAGATCCTTAAGCCGTTCGCATGCCGGACTCTGGACCTGGAATTCTCGCGCCTGAGCAAGACCAGCGGTATAGAACACCCACAAATAGACGCACTCCAGACGATAGGATATCATTGCAAGAGCCTCTACATTGACCTGATGGTTCTGAGAGATGACCGTGAGTGTCCGACCCCAGGCTTGCGCACATGTGGTGGCTAACTGATGATTGCCAGTGGAAGTCGAGTTCCTTGACACCGTATTTGCACGAGTCCCGTCCATGGCGGACTTTTGTCAAACACTACACAAAAAATACTGCATGAATGAAACATCTTTCACGGAGACGGATTACTATCAGAAGGTCGAGGAAATGCTATTCTACTGCCGTGACGTTGACCGTCTACGACTTAACCTCCCCTTCCAGCTCGTCGGCCGCCATTGTAACGCCGCCACAATGATCCTGGCCAACACACTGAAAGCCTTTGCGCAGCGACCCGAGGAAGACTCAGCGAAGCTCAATACACTCGTCGTAGAGAATGTGACCGATGTAGCCATACGCCACCTCTGGATGAACCCGATCGACGTGATGAACATCATGAAAGTCTTGGAGGTGCTGGAACACCTCGTCTTGACGTTACGGCGACACGAGAACGAGCCCATAACCGTGGGATTATTCGGATCCTGCCTTTGGAACCTTGTCGAGAACGCGGGAGAGCTCAAGAGTCTCTGCTTGATAGGGATGGACCACGACGATCGCCCACCACGAGGGTTAAAACAGACGAAATTCTGGCAGATGCCTGTTGACGAGTGGCGCGCAAAGTCATTACCGGCGCCTAACGTCATACACTCTAACCTCACATGTTTGGAGCTCAAACGGATCGAGTTGTGCCCAGAGGTATTTGTCCGTACTGCGGAAAATTTTGGGACCACACTTCGAGAGCTTTATTTGAACGAAGTATATCTTAAGGTTGAGCAATCGCGCGACTGGAACGAGGATTCTAAGAAAATCCTTTGGGTCGGCATGCCCAACCAACGGCCAGGGGATGACTGCCATTGGATTGCTATGGCGCTGAGATGTGCAACACCACATCTGAGAATCTGCCGAGCATCTTTCCTGGCTTATGATCACTACATGCTCGAAGAAATGCCCACACAGCCAGAGTTTGACCTTATTGACCCCTGTGGTCTTGGTCGAAGCATCTCTCAACGCTTTGTTGAAGTGGTCATGGGAATCCGCCAACCTACGGCTCTTACTAAAGATGCAGTTGAATACCTTCCTGCGGACGCTCTGTTCGACAGTCTTCTGAACAACCTACTCCCACGGAATCGTGCCCTGAGAGTGGTTGAATACGATACTAATGCGTACCAGACGGCTGTTGCCAACTCAACGTCAGAGTGGCAACGCAGCATCGATGGCGTGTTCCCAAATTGCAACTCCAACACTCTCGATGAATTACATTTTATCGCTGAGACGGCATGTGAAGGCATGAGTGAGATACATCGGCGTCGCAACGAGTGGTCTGCCGAGAATAGTATGGCAAACGAGTTCACGGAAAACTTGTTTAATATCCCACCTTCTGACGACGAACATATTTAATGACGATTCGGGGTCACCTACTTCACGACGAGATATCACGACCCATTGGTTATAGACAACTTCGAGAAATCGAAATAATATTCTTCAGGTAGCTTGTCATTCAAGCCTCAATAACAAAGAGATGCGATTTGCATCAGTTTTGACCATAGCCGCTGTATAAATGCCAACCCAGGGGGGCCTTGAATGAAGCACGCCCCTATCTTTTTTATTTGCTTTTGGAGCATCTTTAAACAAAGGAAATAATTCTCATAACATGTCATCATAGATCATCTTCTTCTAAATAAAGGATAAACCGAGTGGGAAAAACCATTAGGACATGGGCCTAGGAGCCGTTGATGCCATTTCCGTTGCCGTTGAAACCATTGGTCTTGGCCGCGGATGTAGCCTTCTCGAGGGCCTGGAGAACGTCATTGGTAAGGTCCTGGGCGTCCTCAACACCGCAGCTGATGCGGACAAGGTCGTCGAAAATACCGACAGCCTCACGCTGATCTCGAGGGATACCGGCATGAGTCATGCTGCTGGGAACTTCGACCAGACTCTCAACACCACCAAGACTCTCAGCGAGAGTGAAGATCTTCGTCACCTGGCAGAAACGCTCAGCGGCAGCGTGACCACCCTGGATGCGGAATGAGAGCATGCCGCCACCCAGACCATCACGATGCTGCTTCTTGGCGATATGTCGGTGAGGGTGAGAGTCAAGACCGGGGTAGTTGACGGCAATGACCAGAGGAGAAGCCTCGAGAGCTCGGGCTACAGCGTCAGCGTTGCGGCTGGCCTCACGAGCTCGCAGATGCAGAGTCTTCAGACCACGGTGAGCAAGCCAGGAGTCAAATGCTGAGGGTACAGCGCCAATGGCGTTCTGAAGGAAGCTCAGACGGTTCTTGAGCTCGTCGCTGTTGAAAGCAGCAACACCCATGACCACATCACTGTGACCGTTGATATACTTGGTGACACTGTGGACAACGATGTCGGCACCGAAATCGAGCGGGTTCTGGACGTAAGGGGAGAGGAAAGTGTTGTCAACAACGACGAGGACACCGTGCTTGTGGGCTTCAGAAACAACAGCTCGGACATCGACAAGGCGCAGGGTAGGGTTGCTAGGACTCTCGATCCAGATCAGACGGGTATCGGGGGTAATGTGCTCGCTGATATCGACCTCGATCTCTGGTGTGAAGGTCACCTTGACGCCGTGGGCCTTTGCGACCTGAGTGAAGTATCGGTGGGTACCTCCGTAGACATCGGAGACGGAGATGACATGGCTGCCGGCAGCGAGACTCTGGAGGATAGTGGCGGTGGTGGCGGAACCGGAGGAGAAAGCGAGGGCGTACTTGGCGTGCTCGAGAGCAGCAACAGCGGTCTCGAAGTTGGTACGGTTGGGATTGGAGGATCGGGAGTACTCATACTCGCCAACGGGCTTGCCAACGGCGGACTGAGCAAATGTAGTCGACAGAGAGATGGACTCAATCACGGCGCCGGTAGCGGGGTCATGTGGAGCGCCGGCGTGGACGGCGAGAGTACCGAAGCTGTGGACGGGGGACGGAGGGCGAGGTGGGGTGGCCACAGGGTCCGAGTTGAGAGGAGCAGCCGACATTGTAGCTGAGGATTGACTGAGGGTGTGAAAGAGAGAGGAGAGGGGTATAATTGAGCCTCGATAAGGTCTATACGAGGTAGAAGAAAAGCTGAAGAAAGTTGGCGAGTTGAGGTGAAGTAAGGAAGAGGTTGAGGTGGGATGGATGTGGTGACAGAGACGTTAATATAGATATAAACTCTGGGCTCTAGCGACAAGCAAGTGGAGGTCCAGGCGGGGCTGAAGGGTAAAAAAAAGAGGGAAAAAAGCCTTTCTTCCCTTGTTCCTGTGTTGCCCTGGTCTGTTGTGTAATGTAATAGGTATGGGGAACGTGAGAGGGGACCCTTTTTATATCAGAGCTAGGTACCTTAGCTACTGTATGCAATCCTGCTGCGCCAAGTTACAGAGAAACAAAGGGAAGCCTCGGTTTGACGCGATCCAGGGTCGAGATGATGCGCAAAAGGCGGAGGGCGTAGAGTTTAGTCCTGAAGGAGCAATGTCGTGTCGTCGATAATAAAACAGACAGAAAGTCTCAGAGGTCTAGAGCAGGTGGGTTTGAAACCTTGACGATCACGTCACAGCAGCCTCTTGAGCAAGGGATCGAGAGTTTTAAGAGTCAAAAAGACAATGATGAGATGTCAACTTGTCGGGGAAATTGACTCAATATATTAATAATTTATGGTTCAGAGAGTAAATAAACGTAAAAAGAATTGATTAGTGAGTGACCCGTGTGCCAAAAAAATATGCAACTTTGGCTGGGTTGTGTTTTTTCGTGGTCGGTTATCGGCTCTCGGTGTACAAAGTACAGACAGATATCGTCGGCTTAAGGATCAGAGTGGAGGGCAAGGATCAGTTAGACAGATTGGATGCTGGGATTGTGGAATCATGGAAGGGTTCAGCGAAGAAAAAAATGGGCTCTCTTGATTTATATCAAATTTCCATTTCTTCTAGCGCCTGGATTACACAATTGGATTAGATGGATTGCCTTCTTCTATGGCTGGTTCCATTCCATACATTTGTATTGAATAGATAGACCAGGAGAACAATCGGGAAATGGATTACACAAGACTCAATCGGTATACATCATGTCTACTTGCGCATCCCCCCAACTTCACCTCAGAGTTGGTGATATCTCATGTACAGGATCGTACCCTGGCCGATGGCCCGGATGGCGCCGCCTCTTGTGCCTTTCGTCATCCGTCAGAATACCTAGTATGCATGGAAAGAAAAGAAAACGGCCGAAGTCCGCTGCCCAAAAATGTATGAATTGCAACTGACGGTTTGACAGGTGAATGCCTGTTTGGGTAACCTTGCGGCGTGCCCGAGCTGATTTCCTTGGCCTCAATGACAAATGTGACCCAGAAAAGTTGCTTACAGAAGCATTCGCCTTTTTATTATCTACCATGCAGTATCTGCATATCCATGGTAATTTGGCGCCACTGCAGCAACAAAGGTCCCCTCCCTATGTCCTCGATGGCTTACATATAATTGGTTTCGTATCATCTTACCTCCCTGGCGCAAGGCGCGCGAATACCATTCGATGTTTCCTATTGTTTGTCGGGTTTGCGACGGGCAGATGCGGTCCTTTCGGCGATAAGTGGAGGGGGTGTTCTTGTATCCATCATTTCACCGCGAGAGACAACGGAGGAAAGTCTTCAAGCGTTTTAGTCAGCTCAGCTAACAGAGAACCTTTGATCGGTGAGGCTCTGGCGCATCATGTGCTCGATGTCGTGATAGAAGGGAGAACCTGTCTTTGGTAATAAGATATGGTTCTCGCTGGCTGTAAGCCGCCCCATGTCTGACATCCAATCCATAGTTCCACCGGAATACCTACTTACCTACCTACTCCTTTCGGTGGATATAAACAGAGTATTGAGCCGATATGGCCGCAATGTTTTCGAGCAAACTAGGTACCTACGAACTCGCGTCACATTGTGTTTGTCTGATAATTAGAACTCCGCTGTTTGCTTTGGAATCAGTGCATCAGCTCAAGTCGTGATCCTCAAATAGAATCCATGACCGACATCCCGTGCAAGGATTTGTTCCGTTGGTGTGTACAACCTCTTTTTACCGAATTCTTTATGTGGCTGCAACACAATTCTTATTAGGTACAGAGGCCGATGGCATTTGTGATTGTCCCGTGTCCCCCGCAAAAGTCTCACACACCTGGAGAGAGCTGCCATAAAAGATAAGCGGTTCCTTGCAGGTCGACGATGTCGTGATTATTCGTGTCGTCATGTCCGCTCGGAAATGGAGGTCAGCAGATCTAATGTTGGCACCAACAGATTGCGGACAAGATCAAGTCTAGATGTAGAGTTCAATGATTTTATCGTTGAGATTTACCAAAGAAGACGTGTTATACTGAATTGAAATGAAGCCAGGATCATCAATGACTGTAACAAGAAGAGTTGATAAGTACCTTATGTACTCTGTAGCATGCATGTAAGTGATATTGGATCGAATTAACAATTCTAATGCCTTAGCCTCATTTTGCTGCCTTAACCGATAGTCATGACGAGCAGCACCCTTGAAAAAACATGCATGGATCCTCTTAAAGATGTGGAATGAAGGAACTAACTCTGACCTTTTCTTTCAGAAATGCATAGTATTATTGTAAAAGTCTATGGCATTTGGACATAAAATATGCTATGGTATATGTCATATTCTGTTCCCGTGCATTTTGGACACAAGTAACACTGCCTGGATCGGCTGGCTTCTGTTTGCACTATCAATCACCTTTACGCCCTCCCTTGGACAATAGGGAACTAAATCCGCCTACTAAGGTAGGAAGGTGACTAGCCTGTAACAGACATTATGATACGAGTACGGAGGCCGCAGATCAATTAGAAAATGCATCATAATCCATCAATTAATTAATCTCGAAACGTCATCCAAATCTACAGGCACCGAATGTCTTGAATCCTTCATCCTAACCCTCGGAATAACCACATCCCCGACGGCTCAACGTTTTCTCAGTCTGACAGGATGTCGTGGTTTCATTGGACACCATCGTCCCGTGTCCCCAAAAGACGGTAGATCTCATGATACGATCGGACCACCAAACCACCCCAATATCCGACAGAGGGAGAACCCCCATATTCTGTAGGTACTCTTGGACGAAAGATTAATATCTCCATGCATCCATTATCTACCCGTCATAGTTACCATTGACGTCCAATTGACACAGCCTCAGTCGGAACAACTTATCTCACCCGATTGACATCAAGATGAGTCTGAACTGGAGTGGCTTTGAGGCTGTCATGTTGGTTGGAATACGCCATAGTACGTCTGGATAGGGGTCCATGCGTAATCTTTCAATCTGTGTGACCTTTTTGCAGGTGTCTGAGTATGGATGTCTCTCCTGTCACAGGGTCCTCTGCGACCTGTCTCTCGTCCAGCCCATTGTGCCATAGAGTTGATCAAAGAAAGGAAAACCATCTGGTGGTATCCGGGCCGTCCTCATCCTTTTTTATGTTATCCTCAGTCCACCCGCCTACGTGGTTCCTTAGGCGAAGGACACAATCGACAAAGCGTCGATATTCGGGCTCCACAATGAGAAGCTGATACCAAAAGCATCCCCGACACAGGCAAGACACGCACAGCAATATCAGGAGGGCTCGGGGAGCAAAGCAGAAGGACAGGACAGGGCCATATCCCTGTCGACTTTTGACTTGCTGTGGCAGTGCAGCCTTCCCAGCTCCCATTCGCTGTAGACGCCAACAGAAGGACATGACAGGTTAGAACTGCGCTGAACCGGGGGCTCCAAGCTCCACTAGGCTGTCCTGCCGACGGGACCGCCCCTCCACTTCATGGTGCGCGGTGGCTGCTGGCTGCATCTCTTCTGCCCTCATTTGCATCTCATCACATCACAATAGCACCAGATTCTCCTTCACCGCACTTGCTCGAAACGGAGAATCTCAGCAGTAACTACCAGCTTCTGCCCCCAAGTTCGAAAACTTGACCGTTTCGTGCTCAACCACGATTTCGCCTCTCTTCGTTCTTCAACACGCGTCATGGAATTCTCTTCCTTATAATCTCTCTTCCTTCTCTGCTCTCTACTGTTGCTTCTCCTTTACTCAAAGCCAACCGTATAGAGGCCCCCTGCCTCTGCGGCCATGCTGCGATTTTACTCACATTTCAGGGTCCTCTCCATACATTCTCAAGGAACTTGTTGACAAACGACACGTGAAAAAAATACATATCTCTTCCTCCTTTCCCCCCTTTCTCAATCCATCATGCCTCCTCGACGCTCTCACAAAAAGTCTCGGGCGGGTTGTCGGAGGTGTAAGAATAGGAAGATAAAAGTAGGTCTTATCGATCCTCTGCTTATGCCTCAACGCATCGCACCATATTGCACGCTTGTCGTTCAAACATAGACATTCTTCGCGTTGGCTTGAATGGCCCCCCCCAACCTGTTGGTGTTTTTGGACGCCTGGACTGACTCGAAATTCCCATTGGTTGTAGTGCGACGAGGTTCACCCACGATGTGGTAATTGTGCCAAGCACGGCGTTCCTTGCGATTTCAGCAACCCCGATGTCCTCGAAGAACTTGCCATATCAACTAATACCAGTACTGAGAGTGTCGGCGCACCTACTCCCTCGCCTGCGCCGACTGTGAACTTCAATTCTGCTCCAAGAACGCCGCTACCACGCCCACGTGCCCCTTCAAGTCCAGCAAGAGCGCCGCGACCAAATCCTTCCCCTCCCACTTCCGTCTACTCGCAACCTTCGATAAGCTCGTCCACCAACACCATAGACCATGGCGAACGAATGCTCGAGCTGCGTTTGATGCATCACTACACCAATGTCACCTCCAAGACGCTCCTGACCAACTCGCCTGCCGCTGAGGATATCTGGCAGCGTGCCGTCCCACAGATGGCCTTCTCTGGCAATGGCAAGACGTACCTCGCCGACGCCATCTTGTCTGTCGCAGCCCTCCATCTACGCTCAATGTCTCCGAATGACAAAGCATTGGTGCGCGCTTCACATGCCTACTCGGCCTCCTCTCTTTCTGCATTCGGGGCGTCGCTAGGCTCGGGCATTACACCCGACAATGCGGAGGCTCTGTTCCTCACAGCGACGCTAATTGCTTTCCAAGCCAGTGCCTCTCGCATCTTTGTCAAGGACGACGGGGATTCTGCCCCTGGGGATGCAACGAGTCGATATGTGCCCCCGCTCTCCTGGTTCCATGCTTTTCAGGGCGTCAAGACCGTGGTCGCAAACTCGTGGCAATGGATCCATCACAGCGACATCGTCAAAGTTGTCATTGATTCGCAACCTGGTTTCCAACTGAACCTCAACCCGCGCTCGCCTGACTCATTCTTCGGCCATATGCTAGAAGGGCTAAACGATGAATTGATGAACGAAGATCCTCGTTTGCTTTCAACGACCACTCAGGCTTACTCACATGCCGTAAGCGTGCTTAACTGGGCGCATAAAAACTATCACGCAGCTGCCGCGCTCACATTCCCTGCTACTGTTTCGAAGCGCTACGTTGATCTTGTTGATGCAAGACGTCCCCGTGCTCTCGCCATCCTTGCTTGCTTCTTTGCATTGCTGAAGCGAATGGATAATGTATGGTGGTTGCAAGATGTGGCTCGTCGAGAGGTCATGGGCCTGGTCAGCTTATTCGAGCCCGGATCTAAGTGGTGGCGGCACCTTGAGTGGCCAATAAGGATCGCTTTGTTGGACGGCAGCTCTATACCACAAGACATCTGGGGCACGGAGCTCGAAGAGCAAGCACCAGAGCAACAGACTGTTGGCTCCATGACACAGCACATTGAGATATTTGCTGAGATGTTGCACCAGCATGCACAGCCTCCTATTCCCATTGCAGACGAGGATCTCATCGTTCCTGACTCACCTGACTGAAGGGTCGTGGCAGCCATGCACAGCCATGATGGCCCTAGGGCTTAGAGCTGGTCTCGCGGCCTTTTCAATATCTTGTTGGTAACCAGCTTCAGCATGTCGCTGGTCAGCAAGAAATGCTTTCCATCTACAGTCGACAGAAGAGGACGGCCAACATCACTCCACTTGATGATTCACGACCATTTCCTCACAATCGGAACCGGTGATTGTACCAAGACGCATCGAGACGAGATGGTCCGAATGATCACTTGTGTAAGAGATCACATGGCACCTTACAGTCCGATTACATTCGCGGCGCGATAAACTATCGACGAGGGAAGAGCTTAATGTTCGAGATTCTTTGCCAGACACCCACAGGACTTGGCCATTGTGTTGATCAGCACAATGGCAAGCCTATCATTGATCACGACTTACGAGTTGAAAGGTTCAGCCAGGCACGGGAAACAGTACAATTAGATCGAACAAGCCCAAGCGAAGCTTGTGCTTATGGTTTCATTGCTCCATATTGCATACCCAGCACAAGTGTCCAGGTCATCGCTGGAAAGGGGAGCCTTCCACTTTGATCTCGATTTAATTAGTATATAATGACGTTACAATAGAGAAATGCGGTTCGGGGCTTTGAATGTAGTCATGCATATGATATCGTCCAGCGAGCGATACTTGTAATAATTGGAACATATAAGGAGCGCTAGCCTTGCTTCAAGCAGTTGTATTTAGACACTATGGCTGACTTTCAAAGGAGAGATGACAGCATCGGGATCACCATGCCCAGATAAATGACAGCAATATCAGAAACCTCAATTAGACATACGACAGGGCCTGTCATACTTAGGGATGGAACCCAGTAAATCAATTATTGACATAGTCTTTACAAGACCTTTTCCTAGACGCCCAACTCCGAGCATGCAATGCCGCACATCTACTATTGCTTTATCCTCTTGGACTCCTCCTCTTCAACGACATCCACCGCATCTTCGGCATCCTTTCGACTTCGCTTCAGACCCTTCATCTTGCGGAGCTGCAGCTCGCTGAGATCCTGCTTGCCCAGATGCACGCGACCAATCTTGTCACCCATAGAGTCGGTTGTGATGTTCTTCTTGGTGCGCTCCTCGGTGCCGCGAGGCTTCTTCATGGCCTCCTTGAGCATCGACTCATCGGGCTCCCTGACTCGGCCGACACGGAAATCCATGCGAGGACCGATCTCCTCAACCTCAACACGGGGAAGACGCTGACCGGATCGCTTGGTACTGATGGTGTAGACTCGCAAGTGGATGGCGGGCTTAACATCACCGTCGCCAGTGCTATCCTCTGCGCTAATGGAGATGATGTACTGGAGACCCTCGACGTCAATCTTGTCACTGGGCTCGCCCTTGAAGAAATCAAGGAGCATGCTCTTCGCAAGGGTGAACTCGTTGCTGACAGGGCTCTCAAAAGCAGTACCAGCGAACAGGATCATAGGCCGCAGACCAATGGCGAATTTCTTAGTCTTGAACTGAGCAATAGAACGGAAGCTCTCCGGGTCGAGGTAGAGCTCAAGCATGTCAAGGACCTTATAACCGAAAGTGCGAACAAAAGTCAAGGTATGGGGACGCTTCTTCTGGCTGCTACCGAAAACGAGGAGACTGGCGTCGTTCTTTTCGGAGAAAAACTCGAGCGAGGCGGCGTCGTCAAAGGGATGGATGGCGTTCTTCTTGGTGAACTTCTTAGCGAGAGGTTGGCGCATCTGATGAAGGTCGTTGAGGGCATCCTGGATGATCTGAGAGCATGTTGTTCCGCGGAGGAAGAGGCACGTCTTGGGATTCTCGTTTGCCTTTGGTTCGCGCTTCTCGAGGGCTCGCTTTGAGCGCGCATTGCGAGGTTTACTTCATGATTGTTAGTTTATAGGACAATAGTTGTAGTTGAGAGTCGGCTTGACATACACTTGTCTGAGCATCTTGTAAATTGGGAATAATAGATGTCCTTGAAAAGATCGGTGGTGAGGCTTCAAGGTGGGAGGTTGGCTTGCAACCTTGGTAGAATAGGAACGAGGAAAAAAAATGTTCTTATCGATAAAGCCTACACGCTACTCACCGTTCACCGAAAGTAATGGTCCCCTTTTGCCTTCTGAGCTCGGTGAGACCCCTGCTCGCTGACTTGGGGCCACCCCGCAGTCACGTGCGGCACAGTTCTCTTCACATTCGGTAAGTTCTGCCGCTAAAGGTAAGAAGACGGCGGAGCCTCGGTATTTTCCCCGCCATAGCGCGGGCATCACTTCGGGTTTCGCTAGCTCGTAGTAGGAGTTCAACCCTCTTCCATCTGAACTGTAAACTACAACTCATCATATCTTGTCATATCAATAAAGCGCAAACTGATCATCGACTCGAAACTCCCATCATTTCTTTTTGCTTACCGACATACCCGATCACTTAAGACCTATCCTACTGAACGTTAGCCGTCATGTCGTTTATGGGTGGCGCTGAATGTTCGACATCTGCGAACCCCCTCAGCCAGCTTCATAAGCATACTCAGAATGACAGAACACTCCAGCAAGACCGTCTAGTTGGTCGAGGACCTGGAGGACAGCTCAATGGATTTCGAAGCCAGAGCGCCAATGCGCCCCAGGATGAGGTGCGCCGCCATACAAGGCCGTTGAAGCTATTACTAATACACCAATCTTGATGCTGTAGATGATGAACGGCTTCCTTAATCAAGGCCCAAGCCTCCAGCAAGAATTCCCCATGCAGCCGGGCCAGATGGGCCCTCTCGGCCCAGCCCAGTCCCATATGCGAGCCAACTCGGCATCACCAACATGGGCGCACGACTTCAATGGCCAGCCAGCGATGGAATCAGCTTTCCAGGCTCCACCTGCTACGCAATCGCACTTTAACGCTGACGAATTTGCCCGTTTTCAGCAGCTTAACACACAAGGTTCTTCCGCGAGAGCGAGTCCGATGCAAAGCAACGTTCCTAGCCAGATGAACCAACAAAGACCCATGATGGGCGGCATGATGAACCGACCGATGGGCTACACTCCCATGTTCCAGCCCATGTACCAGAACCAACAGCCCATGCACCAACCACAACAGCAGGATCTCAAGGGCAAGGGCCGCCTCGTGGAGCTCGACGACCACAAGTGGGAGGAGCAGTTCGCCTCGATGGAGCTGCAAGATAGTGATAAGGCTAAGGAACAAGAGGAGGCAAATGCCGCCGAGCAGGAGCTTAACGAAATGGACAAAGGCTTAACGGCCGAAACTAATGAGTTGGGTGACTTCGAATCTATATGGAGAGGAATACAAGCTGAGACGGCTGCTTCTAGACAAGACTTTGACCAATTCGATACCGAATGGAGCAACAACATGATGCCCGATTTCGAGGGTATGGGCGACTGGGGCCGCCTCGGGGACCCGGCCGTCGAAACCTACCTATTCGAACAAGACAACTTCTTTCGCGACGAAAAGAACGCTTTCGAGGAGGGTGTGCGCATCATGAGAGAAGGCGGAAACCTGTCCTTGGCCGCGCTGGCCTTCGAATCTGCTGTTCAGCAGAATCCCAATCATACCGAGGCGTGGGTTTACCTAGGAACAGCCCAGGCGCAGAATGAGAAAGAGACAGCAGCCATCAGGGCTCTCGAGCAAGCGCTGAAACTCGACCCCAACAACTTGGCGGCCTTGATGGGCCTGGCCGTATCATACACCAATGAAGGATATGACAGCACAGCATATCGAACTCTTGAGAGGTGGTTGTCCGTTAAGTATCCTAACATTCTCGATCCCAAAGACCTACACCCCCCTGCAGAGATGGGTTTCACAGACCGGCAGCAGCTTCATGACAAGGTGACAAATCTGTTTATCAAGGCGGCCCAGCTGAGCCCTGACGGTGAGCATATGGATCCCGATGTACAAGTAGGCCTTGGAGTGCTCTTTTATGGCGCAGAGGATTATGACAAAGCAGTGGACTGCTTCCAGTCTGCCCTCCACTCATCAGAGGTTGGTACATCCAACCAACAGGAGCAGCTTCATCTCCTCTGGAACCGCCTCGGTGCAACTCTTGCCAATAGTGGACGCTCCGAAGAAGCCATTGCGGCATACCAGGAGGCCCTTGCTATGGCTCCCAACTTTGTACGAGCCCGCTACAACCTAGGTGTCAGCTGCATCAACATTCACTGCCACCATGAGGCTGCCTGTCACTTCCTAGCCGCTCTGGAGATGCACAAGGCCATTGAAAAGTCCGGCCGGAGCAAGGCGTACGAGATTCTAGGCGATAATGCCTCCGGCGTCGATGAGACACTCGACCGCATGTCGGCGCAAAACCGGAGCAGCACTCTATACGATACCCTCCGGCGTGTCTTTACACAGATGGGTCGCCGGGATTTGGCGGAGAAGACCGTTGCCGGTGTCGATCCGGATGTGTTCAGACCTGAATTTGAGTTTTAGGGCTTCACGTCTTTTGTTTTTGAATGAGTTGACTTACATGAAGAAGCGGTCTGCCTCAAGGAAGTTCGGAGAGGGCTCAGCAATAGTGCGTTTGCTGTGGGAAATGATTTTGGCCCTAGCTTGGATGTTATATATGAGAGACATGCATGGCTCTGGAAGAATTTGCATCGCAGTGATGCCGTCCCTGGAGCAACGATATCATATAGTGTATAACCACTTCTACGCTCATTTATCATGCATCAATGTCTACGAATAGTTACGCCAGGTTAACCATATACATTGCATCTATGCATCAACTGACGCTAAGAACCCATTTTATCTCTGCTGTGGAAAAGTGGTCACTGCCGCAAGTGGTTGTGTCGACTAAGATGAAGGACTTCTTCCATTATCAGCTCTAATCTTGGAGATATACCCTCATAAGACTTTGCCAATCATCCGAAGCGCTCTCGATGCATGAGCTGACACGCTTGAACATCTAGCAAGCTATCTTTATGTGCAGGTTAGTCAAAATTGGAGCTTGTGACACATTTTGCACAGTTCAAGGTGAAACCACGATATCGAGAAGCAAAGACACTAATAGAGTTGAACCTTGAAGTCTAGACCAGTCTGAAAATATCTACTTTCAATGCAATGATGAACAAATGTTGGAAAGGTCAAAACTTATTTTACCCTTCCCACTGGCGATTCAATCAGGCATCTTAGTGTTACACCAGATGACTCGCACGATGGCAATGTTAGGACAGCCAGATCATCAACTTATGGATTGAAGGCTAATGACATCCTGAACTGGTCGGCGCGGCTTCGATGGCCCCGTGGTCCATCGGTCTATGTCTAGCCGAACGGCCACACATCTCGAGTCATTCTATAGAGTGCTTTACTAACAAGTTAGGCATGGGCGGTGGTGATCTGAGCCATGCGCCTTGGCGAGCATGAGAGTGACATATCGTTATCATTTCCTCGGTATTCCCACCCAACTCTCTCTCATCTCCGTTGATTTAGTCTTGTCTTTGTTCCCATTGGTCCTGTTGCCGAGGTAGTGTAGAGGTCAAGTAGCTTTCCGGGAAGAACGATCTGTCGGGTATCTTCAGATCAATAGGAAGCCAACTCCGTGCCGTCTGTTATTACAGGCCAAATGCACTTTCATGAAGGCTGATGCATGTCTCGCCAGAACGAGACGTAACTCATGCAGTCGCTATAGAGCCCACGGCGGCAGCTGGATATCAGACATTGAGCTTCTTCTCCGAGGTGGAGAAATATTTGAGATGCAAGAGGCTAGAAAGGTCATCCAACAGAATCGGGGCTTGAATACGCAAGGGGAGAAGCGCGCTGGGGCAATGACTGGACCATGTTGCTGGCAAAAGCAAAAAGTATGAGACAGGTCTCAGGCACTTGACTGACTTGATTGGGCTGAGCAAGACATCTATGTGACGAACGACAAGAGATGCAACACGCAAAGTCTTGCTCAAATCAGGTTATGTATCGATGGGATGGGTGCTTTGGGAGACAGACCTGTCAAAATAGTGATGCCATGCGATGCATGTTATCTGACTGAGGGTAGCCAAGACACCGGCCAGATCCTGCAGAAAGCTTTGGTCCTCCCTACATTGTCCTTGACAACCCCTCGTCGCCAGGACCTCCAGAAGCAACACATCCTTCACGGTCTCAAAGGCAGCCATGAAGCGAGTTATTCAAGTTGTTGAATGTCGGCCCAAACAAGCAAGGCTGACGGTGGCACACGGCTGTTTGGAGATTCCGCTGCGTAACAAGTCTCCTGCTAGCCAACAAACCTATCTTTTGCCCGACCTTTCTTAAGATGGCACTTTTGGACTTGGACCTTATGACGGGCCATCCACGGGGCTCCCATCATCGGGTATTGAGAAACGGAGGGCGTTGAACTAGTCACTTAGTCTAGGGGCCCCAGATTCGATCCAAGCGCCAACATGCTTGATCGAGGTGCAGAAGTGACGATACTAAAGTTAGTTCATTGCGGACTGATGTGCCCTGGGGTGCGACTATGTATTGTACAGTGCCTCACTTATCCTCTGGCAGCAGGGTAGTCGACAGCAAGAATTTGAACTCCCTAACATGGGTGGTTTACCAACTTCAGTGTGGAACAGGAATTTGAGAAAGGGATGCAGCTGTGGCACTGTCATTGATGTGCGAAGTAGCAGCTAATTTGCTTCCATGTTCCAATACTTGTGTGAACACTCATTGTTGCAGCTGACCGCTTATCTGTGTCTCAGCGGCATGTGTTAATTAAACTCGGATTGTCTGTCAGACAGGATATTGATTGAGACTGTGGTCTAGCTAAGATCTGAAGTAAACTTCGTTCTGCGATATGGTCTTGCTGGATTCGTGTCAGTGGAGAAATGCTATCTTGTCGGTCCGTGGCTGTCGTTTCCTGCCGCCATTCACTAGATCGAGGGTTATTTTCTAATAGTGCCCAGCAGCATCGTCATCAAGTATTTATTGATTGAGGGCAGATCTGATCCTCACCAGTTACAACCCCAGCAATGATGGTGAGCAAGATTGAACGATGGCCTCTAAGGATACTGTACTGCAAAATATCCACTATCGATAGTTCCAAACTTTGTTCACTTCGTCTGTTTTCGTGAAGTGCCTAGGCTTACC